CTGAAATAGTAATTGTCTGTTTGGGTTGATTCAGCTATTTGTTTACCAATTCCATTGTGCCCAAAAATCCTGCATAACAAGCATGTTAACCATATTATTTCGTGTCCTCTGAGGCCTTTAAAGACTTTTGGTTTCAATAAGCTTTCATCTCGTTTAAAAGATACATATACGTGTAGATAATACATATCATATCACTTCTAATTTCTAGCTCTCTCTTATTCCACAACTGGATGAAGGCCTTCCCACACTGTGTTGGTTCTGAGGTTTGGTTGATCATATTTCACCACGTATGCCAGTGCAGATTGGAGGGCAAAGGGGCAGCAGGACAAGTTCAGATATAACTCACCACTGATATTAGCCGTAGCTGTGATTCATACTTATATTGCCAAGTTCATAGTGCAATGCGCGAACCACTATGCCAGGGGTCGGCAACCAAAATAACAAGAAGAGCCATTTCTTTCCAATTCGGTACAAAATTCAGTATTTCAAGAGCCGCAATGCATCTGAGTACATACTGTACATACGTACATATCGTCAAGAAGCAGCCCGTAAAGAGCCGCATGCGGCTCCGGAGCCGTAGGTTGCCGACCCCTGCACTATGCCATCACTCCATCGCATATACTGGGAGTGCTCGCATAACATCGTAGTTGCGTTCCCAAAAAGTGTGACTTTAAGCGGAACATAAAGTGAACATATTTTCCCCAAAGGGAATAAAGTAAAGTCTGAGGTTACGTTCCAGTGTACATTTTCTAAGTTGAAATACAGCAACATAATAGAAAATAAATACAAATAGAATTAATACAAATCTAGGTACATTTTAATAAGATAACACTCAGCAATGATGGATGTGAAACGGGCGTATGGCCGTTTGCGACTCATAGTTCGAAAGGATTATATTACAACAGCACAATATAATGTTATCACTCTCAGTTCACACGCAACAATATCGTGTAATGTACCAAAGAGAGAGACGGGACGCAAGGGATGCCGGACCTATGCCGCATTGTGCTGCACATGACGATGCTCTCTGCCCCACAAAGTAGTTCCCGTTGCTAGCAGTGACGACATAAAAGCGAACATCATGACGTTATAAGGGAATATGTTCCCTATTGTATTGACAATAGTATCATGAAGAAACATTGATCAAATCGACATAAACGAGGGCCTCCCTGTATACACATAAGGTTCATACAAAATGTCCATACTGAGTCCGTCCAGGAGGTGGTCAATGAGGTACAATGGATTTGTGTATGCATCTCGTACATAAACAGATGGCGTTTATTCTTTGCATCCCCTTGTAAGTTTCGGTCTACTGGAAAAAGCAACCTTGTGCTTTTCTGTGCAAAAAAAAAGTGTCTCCTCACTAAAACGAGTTTTGGTTGGAAATCACACATTCCCATGGCAGGGGGCAGTTAATTTAACCACTGCTGGCCTTCCATAAAGTGATACCTATTTAATAATCCGTGGAGGGATGAATAGATAAGTCACGCCCTGACTGGGATGTGAACTGACAATTGCCAATGCATGAGTGAAGCTCTTTAACGAGAGCCAATGCTATTGTTTAAAAGCAAGTTTTAATACCCTCTCAGATGGACAATATTTATTTAAATAATAATAATAATTATTATTTTTCTATCTATGTGACTTTACCGAAAGACCCAAAGAGTATGAATGCCTGCAGTCACGAAAGCTTTAAATCAAGATGGACAATAGTGATGCTGTAGAGCACTCCGGGTTCACCACAACACCAGAGGCTATAAATTGTGTTTGAGCTTTGACGCCCATTCGTAGCACGTTATATTAACTTAATATAAAGCATTTATGTGTATCCTTTAAAAATTGTAGTGTTGCCCTTTACTGTAACTCCACATATGCCTGTCTGTCATAGCGACATAAATCCTCTCGTATATTGCGGGGCCCTCATAAACATAGGAATCATCTCTGCCTAAAAACAAGTCCAACGTGCTTTCTCGACAATGAAAATTAACCAAAGAAAGCTAAGTTGTATAGTGAAAGCCAGAAAAATTAGATTTACATACTGTAGGCCACGCATCACACAATACATTATTAAATATGCAGTACAAGCTGATTTATAATTTTTCTTCAGCGAGTACATTGCACAGCACCTGATCGTGTGCATTACAGAACCTGCAAGCCACCATTAGTGGCATGCGTAATTCCATCGATACAATTATGCTCTGGTCAGGAGTTGGGTGGGGGGGTCACAGTTCATTGGTATGTTAGTTTACATTGATTCAATTTTAGAAAAGCACTCCAACCTGCTCTAGTTTGCCTCTTTAACCATGTTCATTGCGGTATGATTTCAATAGTCATCCTAGGTGAACTTTTTAGCAGTTTTTCAAGTTGTCATTGACATATATCTACAATTGCTTAGCAAAGTATCTATGTGCTCAGTACTCCCTGTCAATACATTGGCAACCATCTATAAAAGGCCATTAACTTTCAGGTCTGTTGTTGGCGACATCCACGCACCGTAGTAAATACAAAGGTGACTTCCACTTTCATATGGTCTTTTTATGGCGACCTCAATATTTCGTGAATGTTACTCCAGCGATAAAAACAACCTTAATGCACCTCGTGAAACACACCAGTCCCACCAGCCACCCTGCTACTGCTGCTGCTCTACCGCCACCAGGATGCACGTTGCCCTCGAGAGAGAGAGAGAGCGGCCTCCAACATCACGGGGTTCGGGGTGGGAGGAGCTGGTGCACGTCACAAAGAAATCCGCGTGAGCTCCGCACTCGATCTGGAAGTTTGCGAGCATTCAAACCCAGGTCGGGGTGGGGGGGTCGACTTAGCGGGTTTATCGAATTCGAAATAAATGGTTGTTAGGGGCCGTCCATAAATGACGTCACGCGATTGTGGACTATTTTTTACCCCCCCCCTCCTTCGTCACACGGCGTTATAAAAAGTCAGACCCCCCCCCCTTCAAATGACGTCACAAAGCTCTGCCCCCCACCCCAAAAAAATTTTCAAACATGCTTCAAATCGCTTTAAACTATTGTCATTGTAGTGCGTATTTAATGTGGCGCTGCAGTCTGATGTTTTAGGAGAAAACATTTATAAAAAAGTCTATTTAATAAAGTAGAACGTGTTGTCTATATTTATTTAAAGTTGTGCATTTTGATGTGACGTCACATTTCTAACCCCCCCCCCCCCATCGTCACACATGTCTGATCCCCCCCCCCCTAGGTGCGTGACGTCATTTATGGACGGCCCCTTATTTTGGTTGCAGACCCCTGACTTAGCCCAATTCAATAGCAGTTCTGGCGTGCGATGGATGCCCCCCAGCAAAAATAATGTGGAATTTTCACCAAAGCTTTCCCCGCCCATGGGAAGAAACCAGCGCCGATTACAATCAGTACGAATTTAGCTGGAATTGTGCAAAGCTCCGAATTGGAAGTTTTGTCGCTTAACGTCGCATCGATTCAAGAGGCGAATGGCTCACAGGGCTATCTCCATATATATAAAAGGCAAAGTTGTGATTATGTGTGTCTGTTCAAAATGTTTAGCTACTTCCCGACATGCAACAAACTTGAAATTTGCCATGTGAGTACTTTCCAGACTGTACACCATGCAAACATTATAAAAACACACTTTAGTTTTTTTTTGGGGGGGGGGGAGCTCAATAATGCATTTATTTTTTGCACAGCAAATGAGCTGTGACGTCACGTCTGTCACGTGACCCGCGCACGTGGAAGCGCAACGCATTGTAGTGTAGTGGTGAGCGCGCTGCGCTACGAACCCGTGACGATTATTTTAATCGGTCCTGGGCCTCCCCTAGGTAGACTCAGCCTTAAACGAGTAACTGGTGTGGTGTGTGAACATCGCCACTGGAGAGACAAAGGCGGCCGGGCGTGGTGGATCCAAGTAGTAAAGCTAGTGTCTTATAAATGAAACTGACCCGTTTACCTTCATTGATATCTATTCTTGCAATCTCGACACGTGTATCGAATCGTCCACGAGAGAATCATCGAGGGTGTCCCGATAACACGTACGGTGTTATTTACACTTCGATAAAGGGGAATTATTAAGTCGTGACGAACGCGACAGTTTCGAAAGCGGCGAAGCGGAGGGCTGGCGACGAGACAGGCCTCACACAACGTGGCAAAAAAAAATCTTACAATCAGAACACGGGCTTCGAATCGTGCCTAAACATCTTATTGAGAGATTATTCCAATTGTTATGCCGACTCCCTTAAGCAACGAAGAGTTTTAATGAAGCCAAACTCGCCCCCCCCCCTGTCCCGTCACTTCTGCACGGTGGTCCAGATGTCTTGTGACCCACATTTAATTATCTAAAACCTATATTTTTTTTCAAGATCTATTTAAAGCAAAAGTTGATTTGCAAAGAGGGGTGTAAAAAAAAACGTTAGGGGGTCAATTAATTTTGGGGGGGGGGGGGGTGTCACAAGACATCTGGACCACCCTGCTGTAGTCTGATGGAGGCCGTTAACACAGGAACCTGTTGTTGACGTTGCCTTTGCATGATGCACAGAACACAGCACACAGGATGTGCGTCTTGTCTTTAAACCTACGGTGGTGGTGGTGGGTGGAGTTTGTGTGTTCAGACCTACAGACGAATCGCCTCCCTGCCACCGTGAACGACACGGGCAGCAACAAAGGCGACACGCGAGACGCAACATTTATCGATTACAGCGGCTAATGGCTCTGGGGGGCCGGAGAGCCGAGTCGAGCCTAGACGCTCAACCGGACTGCGCTCGATCTAAACAGCGGCACCCCGTGCCAGGCTAGGTGCACGTTGAGGCTCGCTGGCAGGTCACGACACAGGGACGGGTCCAGGCGTTGCGGGTTAACAGACGGACAATCACCGTCGGATCTTACCCCCCCCCTCCCATCACTCGCGTTCCACAACCCCAGACATCCCCGCGGGGCGTAAGGCGCGGCGCCTCCCTTCCCCACCCCACATCGCCGCCGTCTCTCCGTCACCGCGGGACTCTCGTCGTCTTCCGCTCTTACCCGAGCAGCAGCGGCGGCGGCAGCGGCGGCAGCGGTCGGGATCCTGTAGCCCGCGCGGTGTGTGCGGACGGCTCCGTCTACCCCGAGCAGCGGCAACAAGTCCGGCTCCTCCAACAGCGAGCGCTGAGAAACTGCTCAGTGGCAGTGGCGGTGACGCGTCACGTGTTAGACATCCGCGGAAGCGGCGCCGGTCCCCCCCCCCCCGCCGTCCCCCCCCCGCCCTCCCTACACCCCCCTCGCCCTCCCTACACCCCCCCGCCCTCCCTACACCCCCCCCCCCGCCCTCCCTACACACACCCCCGCCCTCCCTACACCCCCCCCGCCCTCCCTACACCCCCCGGCCCTCCCCCGAGCCCTCCCTACACACCCCCCCGCCCTCCCTACACCCCTCCCCCGCCCTCCCCCCGCCCGCGGTCGCCGCTGTGTAGCCGTTCGCAATGCTCTGTTTGTTGGACTTTAAACGCGAGCACGGCGGTGGTGGTAGTGGTGGTGTTATAAAGCTGGCGGGCATGAACTATTTTGAGTACAATAGGGGCGTTTTTTTTAAAGCTGTTGTGTAATGTGATTTGCACAGTATATTTTACAAACGTGTTATATCATATTCTTTGGGTCTTTCGGTAAAGCCACGTACATTTTTTATTTTTATTTTATTCTATCTCCGTGATTTTACCGAAAGACCCAAAGAATATGAATTCCTGCAGTCACGAAAGCTTTAAGTAAACTTTTATATCATGATTAACGTTTTTGAAGGAACCAGAATGTAAAATGCTATTTTCAACCACAAGTCAATCAATCAATTAGTAGCATGTTTAGAATGCGGTTGCCAGAACACCTTTTCACATCATATTACAACCGTTTTGGCATCCCTCCACTGGCTTCAAGTTTCATATAGAATATAGTTTCAAATCCTATTGTTAATTTACAAAGCATCGAACCATCTTTCCCCAGCCTACATCATTGACATGCTGCACCCATATGTCCCCTCAAGGTCCCTAAGATCTGGGGAGGCAGATATTATCTTTATCCCCATTGACTCCCATGTTAAAAGCCGAGTTACGTTTCAGTCCCAAAATGTTCCACTCTTGAACAACATTTTTTAACATGAGAAATACAAATTACTGAAAATAAAAAAAATCGGAACAAAACATCAAATGTAACGCCTAATGAAAAACCACAGTGCAAGATCCCCTATTATATCACCTCCTCTCTCCATTCAATCAAACAGCCCTCTCGCGCTCTCTCTCATACATGTGTTGTGTAGTGCACGACAACTCGGAGGCAGATCTTCTGGTAAGGGCTTACGCCGGTTTATTAAACACACAGGTTAACACTACACATCAGAGATAGGTGTCCCTATACTTGGCCCTTCACTCGGACCTCAGGCTCTCTTGGTCCCTAGCTCGGCTATCTCTAAGGCTCTCTCACTCGGCTCGGGACAGGGGCTCAACCAACACCGCCCGACCGAGGAGAGCAGCACTTCACACAAACCTAGCCGGCTCTTGCAGACCCTTATCAGTCCAACCCCTGGCTGTCTCTTCGGCTCCCCTTCAGCCGCTCACCATCCCCGGCTCCCACAACGACCCCGCTTTCGTCACGGGGTCCCCCTTAAGTATCCCCCGTGGCATGACGTCATCACGCCTCACCGCGCGTATGACGTCATGTCACCAACTACTCTACACATGTGTAAAGACAGTACAGGGCCTCGTGGCCGTAAATAATAATTGACGCGACAGGAACAGACAGGGTCAAGTAAGGATAGTACGGGACCTAAGTGGTCGTAAATAATAATTCAGGATACAGGGACAGACAGGGCCAAATGAGGTGAGACAGAGCTCGGGAAAAGGGGCGTGGTCGAGTCCGAAAGGGGGATAAAAGGCAGCGTGGAGCAGGGTTCTGGGCTGCTGCTATGGGGGTTCGAAGAGACCGTCGTTGCCGTCGTCATCTTGGAGTGGGTCGTCTTCATCATCTTGGAACGGGGCACCTTATAGTCTTGGAAGGCTAGGGAAGGTTTATATATATTGTCTCTGTGACTGCTACGCCTTCGCTCATATCTAATCAGCCAACTGCATAGGGAACGTCGTGTAGCAGTTACATAAGTTACCCAGCTGTACATAGTCACTTGCGGTTATCCCTTCAAATATCAGTAAGTCGGGCGGACCTTAATAGATAGTAAATATATATAATTCAACAAGACAGTGTCTCTGAGTGCTACATTACACATGTGTAATGACTGAAATTAAGAGACACTCACCCCAAACCAATGTGCAGCCAAACTATCGTTCAAAAGGTAGGCCAGGGCCTCCTTTTGGTGGAAAGAGGCCCCCACAATGATTGGTCAGGTTTGAAGAGATTGGAGGAAGTATTTCAACGGGAAAAAGTGGGAAACGGTGGAACTCGGAGGCGACAGTTGTGAACCGTTGGAGGAGAAGGACAGGGATTGGCTGCGGTAAAAACAGTGAGGGAAAGTTCTAGAAAGGGGGTTCAAGAAGGATAAAAGGGGAGAGCAAGAGGAGAGGGACGTGGGAGGGAAGGGACGAGTTTCAAGAGCAAGAACGAAGCCGGGCATAGTGTTGTGGTTGTGTCTAAATAAAGAGGCTCTTAGTAGACAGTCGTAGGTGTCATTTCACATTCACACATATCTCTGCCCCCCCCCCTCCTCTTCTAGACCAAGATCTCCCGTATAGCCTTAACAGACTATTGGGCCAAGTGTTGTTAGCGAGCACCTATGAAGGCCAGTATGGAACACGAGGGGTGCTTTGCCAGCACCATGCGCGGCTGCCTTTGTCTCACTAGTGGCGATGTTTACACACCGCACTCGGTACTCATTTGAGGCTGGGTCGACCTAGGGGAGGCCTAGGACCGGTTCAGATAATCATCACTGGTATTGGTCGTGAGCTGGATTCGATCTGGGGTCGCCGGGTTCATAGCACCATGCGCCATAATGTTAGCCATGGCCGAGAATCAAACTCATGTGGTCAGGTGTAATAGTGGAATGTTCTAACCATACCGCGACCGCTCCCCTGCACGTGACAAAGGAATTTTCAGTCATATGTACAGTGCAATATTACATCTCAAAATAGTCCATTTAACTGTGTGTGTTCCTAGTTTAATTGTTGCGTAAACATTTTTTGGCACATTTTTTAAAAGAACGCATATACAATATAGAACAGTAGCCAACAGGGAATGGAGACAGGTAACCCCTCCACTGTCAACTGAATCACCACAAACCCACGAATAAAGATCATAACAAGCTTGTGCTGGAGGCCCAGCGGCACAGGCATCTATGACATCTCCTGGCAAAACCACATTTGGTGGAGCAAGGAGACTGACCTCCACCCTCGGTGTTCCTCTAGAAACAGCATAAAACCACTGCGGGTAGCCACATAGAACGTTCAAAAGCTCACAGTGGAGGAGAGGCTGCCATTCCTCTGTCAGAGGCTGGACCGTTACCGCCTGGACCTTTGTAGAATACAGGTGTGGTGGACTGGCTCTGGCTCCAGTCATCACGAGGGGATGGACTTTCCTGCTTCTGAAAAAAAATGAAGGGTGTGTGGGAACGTGGAAGTGAGGTCTGGGAAGCTGAGTCTCATGCTATTGTCGGCTCGCCTCCCCACCAAAGATGAACATCAGTGAAAAGATGCAGGCAAGGTTGATGACTGAGATACCTTTTTTGACCTCCTATCACAGATACTGGCTGAAGTGGCCCCTCGTAATAGTCATCCTGTTGGGTGACTTTAATGCCTGAATGAGTCATGACACAGCCACTTAGGCTGGAGTGATTGGAAAGCATGGGCCAGATCAGCTCAATAACAACAGTAGCATTCTGCTTGACTTCTGTACAGCCCATGGCCTTGTAATTACAAACACGCTGTTCTGGCATCGACACATCCACACAACATTATGAATGCATGCTTTGTCCAAGCAAGAACATCTGCTGGACTACATATTGATTGCACATCGGATGCGGGGGGCATGTTCTTGACACCAGGACCTACCATGAAGCTGATCTATCCACCGACCATTGGCTTGTCATCTGTAAGATGTGCCTGCCATTATTCCACTGCATTGGATATCCACCTAGGACTCCATTCAAACGCATAATAGCCTGGTATCAACTAACTGATGAAAATTGTAAGCGAGAATCTGATCATCGCTTGCAGTTGGTGTTGGCATCGTTCCGCTATCTGCCTGATGCCAGAGGGAAATGGATGAGGTTCAGAACTGTGGCTAATGCATCTGCAATGGCTGCATTGGGTAAACAGTTTAGATATTTCCAGAAACCCTGGCTGATGGGGGAGGTGTTTCGGCTAGTTGAGACAAAGCGAGAGGCTCGCTTTCACCATCTACAATATCCCACGTTGAAAATTAGGCGTACCACAGCCTTCGCTCGGAGGTTCTGAGATATGTGTGGCACTGCAAAGATGAGTGGTGGTCTTGGGTTGCTGATGAAATTGAAAATGGCTCAGTAGCTCATGATCACAAATCATTATTTCATTCCATGAAAAGTAACTTCCAACGCCACACATATTACCATTCTTAAGTGAAAGAACATGTTTGCAGGTTTGCTGAGCATATTTGTGAGGTTTTGAGGGATGGGAAATCCCTCAGCTAAGATAACATCATGGGGCAAGTATCGATGACCCTGCTGGGGCTGCTATGCCTCAAATATTAGAAAAAGTAGTCACCCCCTGCGAGTGGCTGGCTGATGTGTCATCTGTTGAGGAAGGACGAATGGTCTGAGGCCAGGAAAAGCACTGGGTAGAGATGATTTTCCCTATAGGACAATCACAACTGTCTGGATCACAGGAAAGGGTTCCACAGGATTAAAATGATTCCTTGGTGAACCCCGTCTTTAAGAAGGGGGGCCATACTGATTGTAACAACTACTTGGGCTTCTCCCTCTTCAGTGTGCCATGAAAGGTCCTGGCAAGAATTATTCATCATCCTCTTGCTGAGAAGCCACAGGATATGTCTGTCGCACCCCAATAAGCTGAATTGAATTCGTCAATTTCTCGTCGCCGTCAGTCCATTCCGTGCAATCTCATCAATGTTCTTCCCCCACTGGCGCCTTTCCTCACTTCCTCCTTGAGCTCCCTCCTCCCCTCTTCCACTTCAAACTCGGTCTCTGGAACTCATGGTCTGTTTGCAATAAAACTGCTGCCACTCTGGATGCCTTATCCTTGATGCTCTGGTTCTCACCGAACTTGCATTTTCCCCATCAATACTGCTATCCTTGCTGCTCTCCTATTCACTGTTTGGTTGTTCACTCTTACCACACTACTGGCAAAAAAGGTAGTGGTGTTGGCCTCCTCATACCCTCTTTCAGGTCTCCTACCCCCTTTTCTCTGTGTTATCACTTCCTTTTCGTCTTTCGAGTATACATTCTCTCCTTTCATCTTCCCTAATTACATTTCTATCCTTATAAATTATCGCCCTCCCTGCCCCCCCTTCATCCTTTAACCATCTTGACTGCCTGCGTTCTTCTATTCTAACTGTCCCCCATTCCCTCATTCTCTTGGGTGAATTTAATCTCCATCTCAATTCGCCCTCCATCTCAGCAGTTATTTTCCCTTTAACCAGCTCCTTTAATATACACTTTTTTTAAAAATCCTCCCGACCAATACATCAGGCAACATTCTAGACTTATTCTTTCGTTCTTTCGGAAAAGTTACGTAGATAGAAAAATAATAAAACAAAGAAAGTAAATTAACAAAAATATTAATAAAATAAATAAAAATAAACACTAATGTAGACTGTAGCCTGGTTCTTAATCGGAGTGAGTGTTCTGGTAGTCTATAATGTAGACTCTAGCCTGGTTATTAAGTTTGATGAGTGTATTGGCAGTCTATAATGTAGACTGTAGCAATAGATATTAAGCTGGGTGAGTGTACTGTTAGTCTATAATGTAGACTGTAGCCTAGTTCTTAACCTTGGTGAACATACTGCAATTTATAATGTAGACTGTAGCCTGGTTTTTAACCTCGGTGAGTGTACTGGCAGTCTATAATGTAGACTGTAGCCTGGTTTTTAAGCTGGTGAGTGTATTGGCAGTCTATGATGTAGACTGTAGCAATGGTTATTAAACTGAGTGAGCATACTGGCAGTGTATAATGAAAACTGTAGTCTGGTTATTAACCTGAGTGAGCGTACTGGCAGTCTATAATGTAGACTTATTCTGGTTCTTTCAGTAATAAAAAAAAATAAAAAATAAAAACCACGACGTTTCGATCGCAACACAAGCGGTCGTCATCAGGAAAAGGAGGGTTAGCCTCTAAAGGCAAACTGTTTATAAAGGTTTAGAGATGGGCGTAGCCCAAGTGTGTTCGCAGTATGGGCTGGGCAGCTAATGTTAATTATTACTGCACCACCGCTCTCCACATACACACATTTGTTTTTTTGTGGTTCGAATATTGCCTTGTTGTTTAAGGGGCCGTCCATAAATGACTAAATGACGTCACGCACCTAGGGGGTGGGGGTCAGACATTTGTGACGATAGACTTTTTAATAAATGTTTTCTCCTACATCAGAGTGCATCGCTACATTAAATACGCACTACAATAACAATAGTTTAAAGCGATTTGAAGCATGTTTTTTGGGGGGGGAGCAGAGCTTTGTGACGTCATATTTGAGGGGGGGGGGGTCTGACTTTTAGTGACGCCGTGTGACGATGAGGGGGGGGGGTCAAAAATCGTCCAAAATCGCGTGACGTCATTTATGGACGGCCCCTCTTGCGCGCTCAGCGAGGTCTCGCCCGTGACCCGCAACAGAAAGAGCCACGCCCCTCTGCCGGAGGTGGGGGGGGGTCGCCTGACCGAACCCCCGGCCCGTCGCCATGACCACCGCAGGAGATGACCACGTGTGAGCAACGGCGCGCGTTGATTGGCGTCGCGCGACCCCCCCCCCCCGCATCAGTGGGCGGGAACCTTCACCACATCCCCCCCCCCCCCATTGACCCAGTATAGACCGCTGCGATTGGTTGTGTGGAAGACCGCGCGCCAGTCTCAACCAATGAAACGTCGACGCTTGAGAGACTTGACCAATCGCAGTCGTCGTGACCTCGAGGAGCGAGTGGGGTGGTCTTGGGGAGGGGAGGGGGGGCGGTGTCACGCCGAGTCGAGCCGCATTGCATGGCGACCGCACGCACGAATTCGCCGCGAACGTAACATGCCAGGCAGCCGGCGACAAAAGGCGCGGTAAGGCGACCGAGGCGGCGCAACCGCGTGCGTCCGATGATTTAATCGTCCGTGTCTTTCGACGTGAGCCGGAGCGCGTGTGTAAATCTGTGGTGGGGGGTGGGGGGTGGTGCGCGCAGCCTCGATCCGCATGGGAGCTCAGTAGTTTAGCGCCCATTGTGAGGCAATGTTGTGGCTGACGAAACGCCGAGGCAGAGGTTCGGCAAGCTTCACCCCCTTAGCCAGGTCACAGCGCACGCCTGCTGACATGGTGAATACTAATGCATGTGCAGTGTGCAGTCGTAGTGTACGATGCGCTGCTTGCTAATTGCGTGCTCGTTGTTAGCTCTTCATGTGTGTGCAGGGTGACGGCACGATTGTAATTAACACGTCTTTTCCACCGTTCGTGATGATAAATGACGTCACGCACTTAGGGGGGGTGGGGGGGGGGTCAGGCATGTGTGACGATGTGTGACGAGGGGGGAGGGGGGGGTTTGAGAAATGTGACGTCACATCAAAATGCGCAACTTTAAATAAATATAGACGACACGTTCTACTTAATTAAATAGACTTTTTAATAAATGTTTTATCCTACATCAGAATGCAGCGCCACATTAAATACGCACTACAATGACAATAGTTTAAAGCGATTTGAAGCATGTTTTCTTTTGGGGGGAGGGGGGGCATCGCTTTGTGACGTCATATTTGACGGGGGGGGGTCTGACTTTTAGTGACGCCGTGTGACGAGGGGGGGGGGGGGTCAAAAATCGTACAAAATCGCGTGACGTCATTTATGGACGGCCCCTTACGGCGTGGAGCGTGAAGAGGCGTGACCACCCGGGCTCCAGGCGAGGCGCTTCGTGCAAATCGTGGAGCACTGAAGCCAAGCAGTGATCTCACCACCTTAAAAAATAACATTCGGCCTTACTTTAGGATGCACTTCATAGGAGTCGTCGGTGATATGTGAAAGCATTTTCACGCCACGCTTCAGATGATCCACTTTCAGCCTTGACATCCTGACCTTGTCTGAGAGGTGCAGCCGGTGCCAACGCACGCAGGGGCAGTGCAAATATTCCGCTGCCAATACTGTTCATGTACACGCCTTACACGAAAGGCACGTCATCTTAGACGCTTCCACAAGCATTGAGAGTTACTTTAAAAAACACAGCAATACCAAATAAAATGTATCTGCATTAATGTGATTTGGACATTATTGGAATAAAATATTTGGCCACAGCGTTTAGATGAAACGGCATTGTGAGAGGGCGGGACGCGTATTTTTTCGCCTTTGTTCAGTGGTGTGGTCGCAATTATACGATGATAGGTTTATTATTTAAGGCCATGGTTGTGGCCTTGGAGATTTTTTTTTGCATCTTATAACTGCCTAGAGGCTGCACGCTGGGGATTAAAGGTGAAGTCTAAAAAGCTAAGTTCATGGCAGCAATGAAAAGGGGTGCTCACCTTTACAGTTAAGATGTCAAATATACGGTGCAAAATATATTGGAATTATGATTAAGCGGCCAAGAGATTTGTTGTGTTTATCATAAACCTAGCATACACTTGTATAGGGAGTGGTGTTTTAATGGCCGGTGTGACATCACGCAATTTGCGTGGCAGCCAATGATCAGATGAAAATATTCTCAGTTTTGTCCTTTCTAATTTGTGAATATTATGTGTAGAAGATGAAGTGAGATGACCTAGTGCCTTGCTCGGGCATGGGTTTAATTAGGATTCAGTTTTATTTACTGTGCAGCAGGCAGAATAAGTAAAAAAGGTCAGTCTTATAATGTATACATTAAAAAAAGTGTTTTACATTGTTTGCTTCTGGATGTCATTGTCTATTTGCAGGCGGGCACACGCATACTAGTGGAGGCACAACAGCAAAGTCGTCTTCAAAGTGCATCTAACAAGTTTTGCCGTTCACAATTTTAGGTCAGTTAAAACTTTCCTATTAAATTACACTTTTACTTTTATTTGTGAAGCAATACTGAATGAAGTGCATGTGGCACACTATTCAGGTATCAAGAGTTACAAAATATCTCAACGGAGATAGTGAAAGGCTTCCCTGCTTGGGTCATTCTCGTTTATTCCTTTTCATCTGCAGATTATGGTGAAAATATCAGTATACACAGTGACGTACTTAAGATAAGAGTGGGACTGCAATTATTTTAAATAAAAATGTTACTGATACAGCTTACAGAACTAGAAAACTTTTCTCATTAAAATACATTTGTAAATGTAATACTACAAAGTAGAACCTCCAATCTGTGAATATGTGCTGGTCAGCTGATAATTCTAAGTGGAATCTAAGTAAAGAATGAGTTATCTAATGGGCCTTAATGTTTTTCAAGAATATCTTTAAGGTGTCAGCTACCTTGTAGAGTCAGTGGTGGGACAATGTTTGGCCTCTTTAACCGAAGTATTAGTAGTAGTGTTGCAACCAATAATTTGCCATTTTTCATTAAGTTATCCTGCCCCTTGAAGTGCAACATAAATAGTGGGCGAAGACTTTGTCGGATAGGTGTAATAATGGTGGTTGAATGAACAACTAACTGCACAATGCAGCATATAATATTCTCCCACAATATACAACGACAAGGTTGGCCATACACTTGCTGTATATGACGAAAACATTATCAGATGGAAAATTGTGTGCAGTGTGGAAAGAAATACGATTAATAACAAATGCTAAATTGAATTTTTAGATGGTCAAATGGCTTGATTGTTTCAATAAGATCAGTCCTCCCATCATGCCTTCCATGTTACATGACATCACCATAATACGACACAGCCTTGTTTTAGATCATCAACCAGAAAGGGTGAACATTTTATCCAGCAGCAGGACAACGAGGCAACTATATACTGTACCGATTTAATAATTTGTAACACTTTCTCTTATGGCTATATACAAGATTTAAGATTTTTGGCAGTCTATAACTCACATTTTGCGTGTATAATTACTCATTGTGTTCAGCTTGAATGCACTTATATGATGAGTTTCTCATTATTTACAGAAAGTCTTCAACTTGGTTTATTGTCGCACATTGTCCCCACAGTGCTGAGTAAGGAATTGATCACTAAAGGGCCTTGATGTATAAGGCAGCAGAAGACAATGATGGCTATATGGGAGACCCTTGAATATCGCAGGTTTATCGTTCGTTGTTTTGACCTTTCCAAATTAGGTATCATGGGGATTAGTTTTAGCCTTTCGCGGGTATATACTGTACATGTAAGTACCGTATCATTGGCTAAAACCGTGGTGCGGGGCGGCCGAGGAATTCGAGGAAGTGACTCCTCAACCTACGTCGTGCAAGCATCTTGCGGACAAAGACCCCGCTATAGCCTATTAACAGTGCTGTTAGCAAGCACATATGAAGACTGGCACGGCACACGGGGTGGGTGGCCAGCACCACGCCTAGCCACCTTTGTCTCCCTTGTGTCGACATTTAGACATCGCACTAGGTACTCATTTAAGGCTGAGTCGACCTAGGGGAGGCCCCCCGTGACTGGTTCAGATAATCATCACTGGTGTTGGCAGTGAGGGGAAATCGAACTTGGATCACTGAGTTCGTAGCGCGACACGCTAACTGCTACACTACCGCTCCTCTAAGCATCTCGTGGACAAAGATCCCCTGTATAGGTTTAACAGACTGTTGGGGCAAGTGCTATTAGCGAGCACCTATGAAGGCCGGCACAGCACACGAGGGGGTGGGTAGCCAGCACCATGCCTGGCCACCTTTGTCTTCCCAGTGCTGGTGTTTACACATTGCACCAGGTACTTATTTGAAGCTGAGTCCATCTAGGGGAGTCCCAGGACTGGTTCAAATAATCATCACTGGTGTTGGACGTGAGCGAGAATTGAACTCTGTGGTTGCCGGTTTCGTATTGCAGCGCCCTCATCCTTTGCACTACCGCTCCCGACTCAGACAAACGCGCACACACCCACTTTGGATCATCATCCGTAAGTACAGTATTTATACTATTGTCTAGGAATGTTTTTTTGGAATGAGGTGGTGAGCAATTGAGCCCATGTGATAATGACCAATGCAAAATACTTTAATAAAAAATGCGATTAGCCTGTATTTTACGGTGATTGGTAGCATTGATGCTTCCATGACCCTTCATATATTTAATGAGTTATTATTACAGGGTTTTCCAAACTCCAGTCCTCACAACCATCCATGTAACCATCCATGCTGCATCTTTCCGCGTTTACCAATTTACTCCTCAGATTTGTATACAAATTAACTTGTTCCACACTGCACACGTCCGGTGATTGTTTAAACACTCTAAGCAATTAACACTGTCTTTTAATAGATCCGATTGAAATCTCGATGCGTGAGCATATACGTGTTCCGTGTGGGTGTACACGTGTTACACATGACGCAGACTGCATTAATTGTGTTGCGCATCAAATGGGAAGAACCAAAGAACAAATGGGATGTGTTTTACTATTTTGTAAAAAAAATTATTTTACCATTTAAGACCCACCCAATTAGCTATATAGCTTTTTTTTAGAAGCATCCTGGCCACAAATTCTAGCTCAACGAAGTGGCTTAACATGTGGAAATTTATTGCAGCCAAAAGCTCTAAACGCATGTATCTAAATGTGGAGAGAAAAACTGGAGGACCCGGAGAAAAATCCATGCAACCACGGGAAGAACATGAAAGCTCCAAATATATAGGCATCATGAACCCACAGCCTCCTTCATGCCAGGCGACAGAATTAACATCTCGCCACTTGGGAGCATTCAGAATAGAATCAGTTAATTGGTATTTGAATAGGAAGTAAATTGGTCACCGCAGAAATGTTGTGTGGTGCATCACGAGGACTGGAGTTTGGGAAACCCTGTATAAGTGCATTCCATCTGAATTCTGCTCAGATCTTTAGAAAACTTGTACATGACTTCGGCAGGGGTTGGATTTCTTAGCATGCACTTTTGACCGTCGAGAGTAAAAGATGGTTATTGTTGCTATTATTCGTAATAAAGGTTTTTTTTGGGTTAGATCACGTAAATATAAATGTGTCATTAACTCACCACCACCCGACACAGCCAATGAGTCAGGTTTGTCACATGAAGAAAACGTGGCAATTATTTACTGCTTCAGCACACCAGTGTGTTGGAGAGTAAAAGCACAATATTTACAACATTGGATTGGAGAGTAAACCCACAATATTTACGTCTTCCATAAACACTTGTATGCTTAGCCAGATATTTACCTTGGCTTGCAATAGTACAATGTAATGCACTTACCATTATAGTATCTAGGATTGGTGCTCCTAAACCAAGAGTAGAGTGAATCCGTAATTTTTTTCCAGAATATATTTCATTTGCTTTTCTTTCGAATGATTTGCGTTTATAAGTACCTATGATAGGGGTTTACACGAAACATGTCGCACTCCCTGTCATCTGCTCTGCTTGTTGGCTGCAGGGGACGGCATGGATCAAAGTGGGAACCCGGCCGACGATGAATTTTCTGAGAAGGAGGTGCCATGTCTTATTGTGGAAGACTCGCAGGAGATGCTAACATCAGGAGAGGCTGCATCTAGCTACCAAACACTCATAACGCACAAGCTTACAGCCCTACGAGAACAGCCAGGCAGCCCTGAACTGGTGACTATTATTTGGACTCCTGCACACAATAAATGCTTTTGACTTTAAGTTCTGTTTAATGTCAACTGGTGCTATGTATTGTATTTTAATGTGCTGATATATATTCTTTCCAGTGGAAATTTGGGTTCTGCTGAATGCATTGTGTGTTTAAAATGTGAACCTGACCTTAAATATTGTCCAGCTGCCTTGTAATGTATCGGGCATAAGTGATGTTATTCATAAATATGAAAATAAAATGGCTGCCCGCTAACGTCTCATTTAAGTTAATTGCTGCCTTGAACTTTTGATATGAATACTAATGACAAGTTATTAATTGCAACTCCCTTTTTCTGTGTTATCTACAAAATATCTTTGTAATGCGGTCACCTACATATTCAGAAGTTGGGAAAGGATTCGATTTTTTTTTGCTGTCAAAAATATATGCCACATTTACATATGCAGGGCCTTTCATTTAGTATGTACGCATGGAGGGGAAGGGGGGGTTAACCCCGGCAGACCTGGTCTTCACCTGAGGACGGCTGCTTGCGTTGTGGCCGAAACGTCGTGAGAATTATTTTATTATGTTTTATTTTTATTATTTTATTATTTCCCTTCTACGTGACTTTACCGAAAGAACCAATAAGATGACAAGTCCTTGTTTTTGCTGCTCATACCTGTATTTAATATTTGTAGTTTTTGTGCAGGTTTCTACTATTACAGAAAATCAAGATTGAAAACGTATTTCATTGCAACTTGAATGATTGTTAGAAAGTTACTGGAGAATAATATTAGATGGGAATAGGTTGTCCCCTTTTTTTGGCAACAAACAGGTGTTAAAATGTTAGAACACCAAACTTAAACCTTTTACAAGGAATCATGTCTGCATTAACCACAATGCTTGTGGTCAGAATGCAAACAAAAAGACATACTCTGATAATATATGCATTGTCTTTGAAACTGATTGGTCCACACCAGAGACAGCTTTCTTTTGAGCCACAAGTTCGTGTGGTTAATGCAGACAGGATTTCTTGAATAAGAATTGTTTGGTGTTTTAACATCTTGACACCTGTTTTATTGCCAGAAAGGGTAAAACCTATTGTTATAACGTCTATTTAGTTTAGACTAGGCTGCCCTGTGCTGCATAGTTTAATGTTGCATATTTAGTTTAATGTTGCATATTTGATTAAGCACATATCAATAATACACCAATTAGATTTAGAAGCCAGATTATTAAGATTGTATGTTTTTTTCACGTGAAACCGAGTGTAAAATAAAAAATGACACAAAAGAGGACAAAGAGAGCAGATAAATCGAAACACACTGACAAAGGGAGAAACAAAAATAGACTTAGAGATAAAAAAACAGACGCATGCAGATTGGGAGAGGAGACAAAAGATAGGGAAACAGGAGACAAAGACAGGGACAGTGAGAGCCAAGGGAGATAGACTTGCTAATTTGTTTACATAATTTCAGTAAACAATGCGATTGTTTTTTTAAAAATGGTCCTAGAAAATAAGTTATGGTGGGTACAACCTCAACAATCAACTTCTCATGAATGTCAGTATTTTTGTTATGGAAATCAAAGCTTTAAGGTTGGATATTTTTCAGGCACTACTGTCCACACCTGGAATGTCTGCACATCAGAAGATAAGCACAGATGTGCTTGATGGAGCACATAGGCCAGACCCTGCACCCTCAGAATCGTGTAGCTTAGAATTAGGCACTACGCCTCATCTTAAAGGTAAGCCTGGACATATAAGCAGATTGCACCTTTGATAATAATAAGTAAATCAGTTTTTAAATATGTCATGAAATAACCTTGGTCTTCAGCCAAGAATTGTTTTCTGTCCAGTGTTTCTCAGCAGCATCTTTTAAGCAGGTAAATGTTGAAATGGGCTTGAATTGTCAAGTCCAATTATCACAGTGTGGCCTTTTAAACAGATGCTGCTGAGGTTACCTGGTGTTATAGATAAGAGCTCTCTGCACACACTATGGGGATATTCAGCACAATATAGAAACAATTGATAAAACAATAATGCAGTCTTAGTGGCTTGTGGTATTATATGCATGGCGATGTGTCCGTCATTCACACCATCTCACTTGCGTGACATTCTACAGGGTCAAGGGAGGACTTATTCTGACCAATGAATCCAGGCACTTAAGTTATTGTATTTTAACTTTGTTTAACCTTTTGAAATACAATTCCATCGGCCTATTTTACTTCTGGACATTCTGGACTATTATTTTCCAGCAGCATTTGTTTAAGCTGACGAACTCGACTTTTGATTTCAACTCTGAGTCTCAGCGGCAGAATGTGGCATTTTTAAACAACTGCCTTTGGATTTGTGCAGATAAGCAGACATCTGTTGTTAAAGATGCCTTCGAGCAGCCTGCCACTGAGGTGGTGAAACCCAGCAGTGTCGAAGAGGCCTCGTCTGCCGGATCTACAAAGAAGAGGTACACATTTTAAGTGTATATTGCGCTGCTGTTATACAGATTAACGACATTTTAAACGTGATATACATGACTCTTCAGAAAATTACACTGAATTTAAAATGGGAATATTTAGAAATGTAAAGTTAGTGAAATATAAGTTGGTATATTGTGTTTGTGTAGTATCTTTTCTACGAACAAGTATGGCCCTATTAAATGTTTCCCAAAAACACTTCAAAGGGTCACACCTGATCTAAATTAACTGAGGAAATTGTTCGCATCACAATAGTGGAGAACAATAATGAAGACCAGTTAACATTGAGCTGAGTATACTTTCCATATTTCAGCTGTTAGCTTATTCCATTGATGCAATATAAACATCTCAAAGCCAAACATATGCGATTAGGCAGAGGTGAAACAGTAGTGACTTGGTAAAAAAAAGAAATAGGGATTAAAAGATACACTCATGACAAGAGGTAGGGGTGGAATATGGAGAGGTGAATGATCAAGTAGTAATGGCCATGAAGGATGTTGATGATACTTGATCTGCAGGTTGATTTGGAGCCAATAGATCACCTTTTACATGCTTAAGCGAGAATTCTGGCAGGTTAATTTTGTATTTTCTTAATCTCAACATGAAAGCTCAACTGGAAGACATGTCCATAGTAAGAGAAAATATGTGGGTCACAGTAAGGATTAATTAAGGTATTTACAATTGCCAGAGATGTTGCCTAGCTTGTGACATAAAGTGAATATATTAGGGCTAGATACTGTATGTAGCCAACCATGCTAATCTGAGCATGTGTCATTGCCTACTTTTGCCTTTTTTCAAAAGTAAGAGCAAATGAAAGTGTTTTTTTTTATTCACTGAAAAATATAAACCATATGCTGCCTTTTGGGTTTATCTCGCATTTGAAAAAAATGGAAGGTAAACCGTTGTGTGGCTTGTGGCTAATGCAGTTTGTGTGCAATAGCCTCCCGCCTACCCAGGTCTACCGCATGGCAGAGCGGACTGTGCATATGTTGCTGCATGGGGGACTGAGGCTGGAGCCATCGGAGCACGCGCCTTCCACTGGTAACGTGTCGGGAGTAGTGGAGTTGACCATGGCGGGCGATGATGCAGAGAGGGTGGACGAGTCCTGCACACAGGAAGACATGTTTGAATGTAAGTAAAACAAATGTCAGTTCTCATGATTGAATACCATAAGTTGTCTCAAGTACCTGCATGCTGCATCAATGCACAGACATTGTGAAATAACCTTTGTGGTCCTGTGCATAATGCCACACCTCAGGTGTACACATACTTCATTTTGTATTTGCAGGTACACATTTACAGCAACAACTTTCATATGTTTTATCTGTATAAATTGAATGCATTAGATTCCTCAAAGTGCAGATTGGTTCCTCAAAGTGATGAAGGACACTATATGCCGAACTCCCTGTGTAACTTGTTTAGGGAGTGCAGAGGGCCGCCAAAGTAGTATAGCTGTGCTTCTGTCGCAAATGTGTATGTGTTCATGCATGCATAAAATGTATGCACATTGTATGCCTACACGTGTGTTTTTATGTTACATATGTAGTGTGTTCAACTGAGTCACAGACGTACTCTTTGGAGGCAACAAATTTATTAATACCAACACAAGGGGTGACTGCCCCTTAACCAGATAACAACCTATGGTGGTGGACCAGCAGGCTAACTGCACTAATTACACAGTAACTAGCTACAACGGACCGGACCACAGCTCGGGTCCAGGTCCACGTGTTGGAGAGTCTGTAGGACGTAGAACGTAGATTTTTTCACGATGACAACAGCAGCCGGTCCCTCTCGGGGACCCGGCTTATATCCTTTGTGGCGTGGCTGGCCCCGCCCTTAGCCACGACCACCTTCGAGAACCCTCGAGCAGGATCTTTACCCTGACACGTGACCACCCCTAGCCCCCACCTGGGGGCCCTGTGTAGACTTTACTGGTCACGTGTCCTTCGGGGTAAACCAGAGTGCCATGGCGCTGAGTAACCCCATTCCCATGGCCGGCACTCTCACACCCTATCCTGTCGGGGTCGGCACTGCACACAGAGCGTGGTTCCATCCAGCACTCCCAGTCAGTGCTCACCGAGCCCCTCTCGGGCCGCTACTGCACCCACATATACGTGGTGCCCGCGATGTGAATACACCGCACGCCGTGCTTCTATAGGGCCGGCATTACACAGTGACATCCGCGATGTCACTACAGTTGTATTAAAATTGATGTAATATAATTTGTTAGGCTATAGTTATTTAAAAAAAAATCGATTGTCAATTAAGTGCTTTTTAAATTGTTGAGTTTTAAACCTAGAATGTTCCAGCTCTGACATAAATAACGGTGTGGTGGTGTGGCATGCACAGACAATTAATGGCATGTACTAATTGAATGAATATCTTCATTATGAAACATCTGTTATTTCTATGGAGTTGTTATATTTTGACTTTATAAGCTTTGTTAACATTTTTTCTATGACATTCCACGTATTATGTATAAATATCACTGTGCTTATAAACATTTATTAAACTATATATTTTTAAATGAAATGTAAAGCTGTTGGGATAAGCATAATACAATATAATTTATCAAGGATAGGTCATACATTTAATGTCTTGATATTTTAAGAACATTTTAAATATATTGGTATTGGCCTGCTGAAATAATGTGACTTCATTTTGTGGAAAGTATTGAGCATTATAGACCAAAATTCATTCTCGTTGCATTTTTAAGCATATTTAAACAACTTAGATATGACACTGCACCTTAACGTTTATTGTGATGCTTAAGAACGTATCGTAAAACATGTCCTTAACAATAGGCTTGTGCGTATATTATTGATGTGAGTCATACATGACCAAACTTGCAAACAAATTGCATGTGGTGCGTCCTCTATATAAGAACCATTATCACAAGTTGAAATGCACTCATGTGTACCGCATGTTGCTGCCAGGTTCACAGACCCTTGAAAGTCAGGCCAAGCCACTTTCTCCATGCTACACGCCCGTGGACTCCCTCAGAGTTCTTCACCTGTCTGGACACCAGCCCCTGGCCTCTGAGAGCCTGTCTACTGAGTAAGAACTGTATATACACAAGGCTTTATTTCATGTTGTACATGTTTTGCTGTTAATGTTTACTGGTAAGCAAAATGCATCTAACTTTTTGTTTAGGTTTATATTGTGGATTTTCAATAATGAATAGTTTTAAGGGTATGATATTGTAATGGGATAGCATGTGTGTATTTGCACAGCTGCATTTTGCCAACTGCTGTAATTCACAATTAGCGAAACATACTTCCAGGCCAACTGTCACAACCGGAATACAGGAATACCTTGCACTTTCGTCTGGTTAGGGACCAGAGCATGGACGAATGTCAAAGCAGAGCTTTTATTTAGCTTGCAAATTTATTTTGGCCAGCGAAAACATATTGTGCAAATAACTACAGCAAATATAAAAACGTACATCCAAATAACTACAGTAACTATGTAACACATGCATGCGAAACCTAAATAAACAAATAAAAGAAAAATAAACATTATAAATAAACAAATAAATACATAAACAAAAAACTAATAAGCAAAACTAAATAAATAAATTGTGCCTTCAAATATATGTATTGTGTAAGTGGACAATGAATATATTGGTGATTTAGGGGGAATCTAGATTCATAAAATAGGAAGGAGAAAATTGGTGAGGATGAAGTTCATCATCAGAACCGGAAATCAATCTCTTTATTTTTGGAGAAGGGGACTTGGATGGAGATCTAACAGGGGCTGGGGCTGATGTTGATGGCTCGGAATCTGAAGGGTTAGGGGGAGGGATGACTGGCGATGGTTGTGGTGGTTGCTTCTTGAAAAAGAAAACCAAGGAACTACATCACGAGGCCTCCTTTGCCAGTACCAAAATATTATAATAGGGTTTTTCCCCTTTTTTCTGGCGACAAAACTGAAACCTTTTGCAAGGAATCATGTTTACATTAACCATAATACTTGCAGTCAGAATGCAAACAAAAAAACAACACTGATAATTTATGCATTGTCCTTGAAACTGATTGGTCCACACCAGAGACAGGTTTCCTTAGAGCCTAGTCTCATACGGTGTTCGACCAGATGACGCCAAAATGCGCACAGTTCAATGACAACGCACAGAGTAATGAGGGCTCGGGGTAAGCATCTACATCATGAAGCTTCCTTTGCCAGTACCAAAATATAATAATAGGGTAATGTCCTCGTGACTTCGCCGAGAATTTATAGAAAGGTACTAGCCCTTCTGGTGGCAACCTTTGAGTAATGGAGTCTTTACAAATATCCCTATCTGGATGATATTCTCACCAGGGAGTTGGTCAGGTAGGCCCTGTTGCTCATTGCCCAGCATGTTTTTCATCAGCTGGTCAAACACAGGATTTTGGAGGCTGACGCCATCCAGTGGTGCTGGAGGGCTCACGTATAGTGGCTGTTCCATCCCAAGGTCAGTGGGGGTTTACGTCGGACAGTATAAATACACTGGAACTGAGAGCAATTTTGAACACTTACGAGGCTTTTAGTCATTAACCAGGAGGAGGGTCCTTGTGCGCTATGACAATGTCAAGGCAGTGGCAGTGGTCAACCATCACAGCTCACTTCACTTTCAGAAGCTGATGCACGTTGCATTGGAAATCTTTTTCTGGGCTCAGCCACTTTGGATATCAATCACTGGCAGCAGTCTACCTCAAGAACATTTCCAATCTTGCAGTGGATCAGATGAGTAGGTGGAGGTGAGGCAGCCTTCATAAAAGTCTTCTCTATCTGGCCTGGTGGCAACCGGAGAAGTACAGGTGACCCCGACTTACGATGGCTCGACTTGAGAACCCCCGTTTTTACGACCTTTCTTGTAGCAGCTAAGACCCTCACAGTAACGACCAAAACTCATATTTACGACCGCCTATGGACTGCTACTGACGCTGAGTCGATTGACGACGAGTCTGGCATGTTCTGTATACGTGACAACCCTTACTAGTTGGCTGTGTCGGGTGGTGGCGGGTTTTAATGACACATTTATATATTTACACGATCTAACTCAAAAAACCTCAATTATGGAAGAGGAAATGTGATGCACGTGCAGAACAGTACTTAAGGATTTAAAATGTAAATGTTTGTTTTTGCTTAATAAATGTTTATAAAAGTTACAATTATTTTTTGTTATGGTTATTTTCATTTATTTTCGTGGCCAATTTTGGTATTTTTATGGCATGTAATAGGTTTTCAGGAACGGAACCCGAATGTAAAACATTGCGCATATGGGAGATGAGGGTTCGACTTACAATGGCTCGACCTGCGACTCGTCCAGGAACCAATTAGGTCGTAGTTGCGGAGGTCTCCTGTACCTAACAGATATGGCTTGGGTGATGCCAAGTCCTCCAAAAAAATGTCTGATTAATCAATCTGACAAATGATTAACCACTTTTTTTTATAGTAGCGAATAATACAGTGTAGCTTTAGATGTGGACGTAGATCAGTAGTTTGTCAGAACTGGTGGTTTCTGAGATGATTACTCGAGAATTTCCATGGAGAAGTGAAATTCTCGGAAGTTCTTTATTGCAGAGTTTCTGTGATTTCCATTGTGTTAATGTGAGATTTGCATTGCAGGTGCTCTGAGGACATGGTAGCTCCCTCTCCCAATGCCTACCGCTCCACACCTATCATTATACCATCCTCCCCAACAGCCCATGATTCTCAAGACAGCAGTCTGGGTAAGGACTTGATTTTATGTCATTGTTCATGAATTTGGTATCTTGAAAAAAGCTCAAATTTTTGTTATTAAACAATGACAATATGGAAGAGGATCACCCTGTACTTTGAGTGCATGGTTTGTTGCATTTATCAAACATTCAAGACTGAAAACCTCTAATTACTACATACAAATACATTGATAGTGTCCGTTTACAAAGGGTGACATTAAAATACAGGATATTTACCTTCCCCCACAGCTCCAATTAGCACGGTTAGCTATGTATGGTGCGAAATAAATTCAACACAACATGGCAGCTATATGGAAAACTGAATGAATAAGATGTAATTTTGTACCAAGGTATAACAAAGTTTAAAAACTTATAACATTAAAGGTTTACACTGGATAATAATATCTGAATTCAAATAAAATAAATGTGTGATATGTCACTTGTCATACCCAACCTATTGTTAAACACTTAAAGTGAGCTCTATGCATGTGCAATGCAGCACATTATTGGCTGTAGTAATACAGGTGGTTGTAGGAATACAGGTGCAGTATTGATCATGACTTTTTGCAGATATGGAGGAGCCCATGGATGTTCTAGCTGCTACATCTCCCTGCAAGTCTGATGAGCCTATGGAGACGCAATCCCCAACCTGCACCACTCCTCTTCCGGCCGAAATTCCCAAATGTAAGCAGATATGTTGGTACATTTGATTTATATATGTTTTGAGAAATGTATGGTATTCTGCTTTGGAATAAGTTTACAGCAAAGCTTATTTTCTTCAGAATGTTTGGTAAAGCAATTGATACTTAACAAGGAAGATTGTTGTTTGAAACATTGATCAGGCACTGTTTTCCCTTTCACGGGCACTAACACTAATGTACCCAACCACTGCTAGAGATAAATTTTTACTTTCCTTCATAAATGCCAAGATTCTGAGGCAACATTAACCCCGCTTGAACTGTGCGTTATCCAAAAACACTTAATTGGCTTTGGCTTCTATTTCCTCGGAATAGTTCACATATAATACATTGTTACCATTGACATTGTTTTTCTTCATTTTCACCAGAATACACCATGAATCACTTTTATATCACTTCCTTGATTTAATTAATCTAAAAGACATATTTCTTCTCACGAGTTCGCTATCTCCTATTTGCATTCTTTTGTTTTTAGCTCTGATGCCTCTCTAACATGCAGTGTTTTTCACACTGCATATCCATCCTCTCCAAGTACCGTCTCATCTGTTGTCTCACTGTAGCTCTGATTGTCTCATCAGACCCAATTTCCTATATTTATCATTTGTTTCTTGTCTTTTAGTTCTGGTATCCCTTCACCTCTCTTTTGTTGTACATGGATTTTTATATATTGTTATGCATAAAAATAAAATATATTATTTGGTTCTAACTGCCCAGAAACCTAGTTATAGTCAATATTTGGTATTCAACTGAGTTGTAAAAAGTGCTCTTTGGGGAATCCCAAGTTTGCAGGGTGTCACATTGATACCAGCTCAGTCTTAACACTAGGAACTACGCAACACAGCTGGATCTACACTTCATTAATGTGGGACACCAGACTAGGAGGAAGCAGTTTCTTTGTGAGATCTCAGAGCACATGCAGGTGTAGGTAGAATTAGAAACTCGGGCAATGCGGAAGTCATCCTGGGAACCAACTTATTTGGAAATGTTGGCTATAGTTTGCATTCACAATCATGTATGGAAAGCATGAACCAGTAAGCTAATTGTTCACAAAAATATACAATCTATAGTATTGCTTTTATGTTATGTAATGTATTGTAATGAATAACAATAGTGTTGTATACACTTAGACTTCGCTTAGCGCTTAATATGCGTTCCTAGAGAAGTTAACTCGAATAATATCAGCACTCAAAGGGGTCATTATACCATTGTATATATATAGGAAGTAAACGCACATCGGCGGGCAGGCATGTTTGATAAAGACTGGCAAGCGCTGCTTGGCTCAGAGCATTCGTCGTTCTCATTGGCTGAGCGAATGTAAACAAAAAATGGCGGGTGCATTTCCTTGGCGCTGTGTGTTCTCACTCGTAAAAGCTTTTCATATTTTTGGATTTTCTTTTTTTTGTAAAAAAAAATCTCCAGGACAAAGAATGATATAACGAATCGGCGTTCTATGGTGTAGCGCTAAGCGACATCTGTCTGTATTGTATAATTCAAAGACAAAATTGCGTGACCATGCCCAGAACTGATTATGGAACTTCTGTGGGAAAACAAAATGGAACCGTATTATTTTGTACGCAGTAAAATCCCGGCTTGCCAGATCTCGTCTTTCGCTGCACCATTTCTGGATAAATCATTTAAAATAATTCCCTGCAGCATTCAGCACCAATTAGAGCACACGAGTTGCAGTGCACGCACATGTTTTGTAACTGCATGTTGCTCTGTAGCCTCGTCTTGCCTTCTGCTCCTCCGTGTTCTCTTTCATCATCTCACTTTACTTTCATCCTTTTTTGTCTTTTAAAAATTCATTTTCGCGTGTTTTTATTCAATGTTTTTTTTACTTATTGGAGGGCACCAACACACCTTAATGGTAGTACAGTGCAGTAGATTTTGATTTGCACTATACATGTGTTTTATAGTCTAAATTAACATTACAATGATTTAGACATTGTAAATATGTAACTTGAATTTTGAATGCTTTCTATGGTTTATAGAGCAATTTAAGTGTAGTATTGATTTTAATTATTTTTGTGGCTAGTCACACTTTTCAGCTAGCCGGACCAGTTCTCCCCCCTGTTAGTCCGGCTAGCCGAGGCTTTACTCGATATAGATTTCTCTAAATGTTATTTTCGGAAATTAGTCACCAGAGAGGTGCAAATGACATGACAGGTAAAACCACTGTGGCTGTGACTGGATGTGAATACTTTTGGCGTGAGATTGAAAATTATTAATCCACCCAGAGACATCTTCAGTTTGACATTTGGCATCTTGTTAATTAGCTGTAAACGAATATATTTTCCTTAAATTCCCACTTCCAGCAGGAAGATGGCGTGTCAAGACGATTTTGGCGCTTCACGCCAATTATCAGCTATTTTGCTTGTGACTAGCAACAGTGAGCACATCATCCAAAGTATACATGATGGTACTGATGTGTGCGTTCATCTTGGTGGTGTTGCTTGCATGTCTTGGTCTAATAGTGTCTGCATAAATCATTTGGAGAGTGGTCAAATGCCCTCTCCTCATCTGATGGGGCAACATAAAAAAAACATCGCGAATTCTATTTCCCGCGACTTCCCAGTCAAAACACCAGATACATTGACAATATAGAGAGATAAATAAATGAATGCTATTTGAGTGGACGTCAGCCCACATAGCCACAGAGCCACTTTGCAGCCTCCTCCTCCAGCACTTGCACGGCAACCAGTGCGCCCGGCACTCCCTGATGCACTTTACAGCCAAAGCTGATCTGTGCCATGGTCTCCTGCTCCCCTTGTCACACCGGAAGCGGTTTAACTCCATTATAACGCAAGTTTGCCATGACACGGAGTAACCAGTGGATGTTGTGCAGCCCCATTACAAAGCTCTGAGGTCCCTGGATGATTCAAGGGCATTTTTTCTCTCCAAACCCATATCCTTAACCCCGTTCCTTGCAAAGATAATTAATTCAATATTCCTTCACGGTATCATTGACAATTCTGTATTATAGAGCCTTTTCCATATTTGAAGCTACTTGTGCGATTAATATTAACAGAAGTTTGCCATTGTTTTACAGGCATACCTCATGTACAAGCCACTGCTGCACAGGCAGACAATGAGATCAAGCCTTCTGTTCCGTTGTCACCAAAGCCAGCATCTCAACCTGTTCAAGGGGTACTCAAGAATCCTGAGGAGGCACAAATGCAGAGAGAAGTGCAGACCCAACATGTGACACAGGCTCGGCAGACATCACATGCACACCTGGCTACCCACGAAGCAGACACTCAACATTATACACAACAATTGCAGACACAAAAAAATACCCAAGAGCCACAGACACATAACATGCCACAGCCTCAGCAGGTTACACAGGATGCAGAAATGTTAAAGGTTTCTCAAGATGTACAATTATCGCAAGAATTACAAGAGGCACCACAAGATGAACAGGCTCAGCCACTGCACACTGAGTCTCCTGAAGAGGAACTAACACAGACCAAACAGGCTTCTCAGCAGCCACAGACACACCCGATCACCCAAGAGGCACAAGAACACCACAAATCCCAGGAGGTGAAAACACACCAAGAGGAGACACAAGAACAAGAGAATACAAAGATACATCAGTCGCATAATGTAGCCCAGGCGGCTCATATTCAGGAGAAACCATCTTCTCCAGTTGCCATCTGTATTCCTCCATCAGAACCCGAGTTCTCTCATGTGAGTATAACATTGCGTTTATATATGTTGGAACTTGTATTATAGCAGTTGTATTATGTGATTGCATCATAACGAACTGTAATTCATAAAATTTTGGTTTGGCCAAATTTCTTCTAACATTTTTATTTTAAAAAGCCTTCGTACAACATGCAGCCAACTCTACATTAAGTTTGTAATGCTATCCAATATTCTGTCAGAATACAATTGATTGTGTATAGTTGATATATAATACATGTAGGCTTCACAGCCAATATGATACATGTTTTTTTTGTTTAGGCAACATGATGATTTGACCAAAATTATGTTGTATGACCCTCCACTGCTCATCATGGTCAAACAAATGAAATTGTCAAATGTGCAAGCATATATTGTGCCAATCATTGCATCAGCTTACCGGTTAGTTGAAAAACTATTTTGACTAGAATGTAACATTTTTGATTTAAAGCTTTCGTGACTGCAGGGATTTATATTCTTGGTTCTTTCGGTAAAGTCACGTAGAAGGGAAACGAAAAAAAAAATATAAAACAATACAATTATCACGACGTTTAGATTGCAACACAAGCAATCATCATCAGGTGTGAAAACCACAGCAATTAGATGTAACTTTTTGCTTGAAACTGTGGGAAACATGTTCAGGACAAAACCCTACAATCCAAAATAATCATGTCAACTGACCCGAATTAGAAAGTTCGTTCGTTTCATAATCTGCTTGTCCTGGTGAGGGTCACGGCAGTGCCTCCCTCCATAATGTTGTTTAATTTCAATTGTTGGTTCTGATATTCAATTTCCTGTACACGTGAACTTCTCTTCCTGCAAACGTCATGAAGTCATGGTACCATTGGTTATAATCGAGACATTCCACATTGCATGATTTTTCTATTGGTGTGTCATATTGACCACCTGAATTAACAGGTTGGAATTTGAAGGAAAACGATGGGTGTGAAACGTTTGTTGTTAAAAGTTACGTGTCCGAAATTGACTTGCCAAATGCATTACTCCCGTAAGATTATGAGGCCCATTGTTTTTAATTCTGAATGATAAATATGCGTGAAAAGTAGTGTGTACAGGAGACCTTTGAATATGCCAGGGGTTACTTCCTTGGAAAGTGCCATGAAAGCCAAGACCACGGTATTCAATACTTAAGCCTTCCCGAAATGATAGGGTTAGCTACAAGGCGACAAAAATTACAACTGAAATAAGTACGAAACTGTATGCCAAAAAAACAAACAAACTTAATATTCGAAATTATTTATACATGTAAAAATCCGAGACAAACATTTCTAGACAATAAATAGTACACATACTCAATAAATACTGTACTTACTGATGATGATCATGATGATCCAAGTCAGGTGTGTATGTATGTGTTTGTGCGCGATAGTGCTATCGTTAACGTATTGCGCTACGAACTGGCGACCCGAGTTCCATTCCCGTTCACACCCAACACCAGTGGTGATTATCTGAATCGGTCCTGGGCCTCTCCTAGGTCGACTCGTACTCAAATGAGTACCTTGTGCAATGTGGAAACATCGCCACTTGGGAGACAAAGGCGGCCGGGAGTGGTGCTGACCACCCACCCCTTCATGTGCTGTGCCGGCCTTCATAGGTGATCGCTAACAGCACTTGCTCCAACAGTTTGTTAAGGCTACACCGGGAATCATTGTCTTTGCCCGTGAGGATGCTTGTACGGCTAAGGTAGAGGTGCCAATCCATGTCTTTCCCCACAGTTTTAATTTTAATATTGAGGTAAATGACCTGAAAGATTTAGTATAGTGGTCTTGAAGAACAAGCAGATCTTAGTTTTTTTCTAATCATATATTTTTATTGCTAAAGTCTTGTAATTGTACCTTGACGTTAATTCTCATGAATTCACTTTCCAGGACATTTTTATCCCAACACCTGCAGATGGTATCAATCCCCCAGCCTCCAATGTCCCAAAGCCTGTGGACACACCATTGAACACGGAGCCAATAACTACAGTGCGAAGTGCATCGGATGGCAATCTGAATACCAGTGAAGGAGGAGACGCGTCTTTCCACTTGCAGCTTTTCAGTGAAGAACACACGGAGTCGGACCACCTAGCATCCCTGCAGCAGTTTATATCTTTGCAGGAGTCTCAAAATTTGCAAACCAGCCAAATACCATCAGATAAGCTGGACACAGACACCAAACACGTCAGCCAGTCCGATGTAGTTGAAGATAAAAACAACCAACCAGAAGCAACAACCAACCCTCTGAATAAATCTGAAATGGCTCTAGAGCATGGGCGAGGTGATCCATCCAAATTGGCCAGTGACACGAAGGAAATACAAATTGAATCTGGGCCATCTGTTAATTTGCATTTATGCTCAACTGCGAAAGAGGACACTTCTGAGGATCAGGACAGTGAACCAAATGAAGAAACACAAATTGATGAGGAAATGGAGGAGGCTCTGGATTTCACTGGGAATAATTCATCATTACTGGAAAAGAATACTGATTCTCAGTTACAGGTGATGGAATCTAAGGTTAGTGAGCCTCAAATTAGTTGTCCCCCAAATAAGAGCGAAGATGCTTTAGGAAAACATGGTATTGATAAAGAAACAAAGGTAATTGCCATTGTTCCTGCATTAGAGCCTAGCCATAGTGATTGTGTTTCTTTAGAACCTAGTAATGTAAAAATGGATCAACCTGAACAAAATAAAAATTCACAAACGGAGCTTGCAAAAAGTTCAGAAGCAGTTGAAGCCATGCAAGTTGAAAAAGTTATGGATACCAACACAAGTTTGTCATCACAACCAAAATTTAAATGTCTAGAAGTTATTGATGAGGCTACTGTCAAAAATTCACAAACGGAGCTTGCAAAAAGTTCGGAAGCAGTTGAAGCCATGCAAGTTGAAAAAGTTATGGATACCAACACAAGTTTGTCATCACAACCAAAATTTAAATGTCTAGAAGTTATTGATGAGGCTACTGTCAAAAATCAAGAGCCTCGTAGCCCTCTGGAGGTGGAGTTAGACGGTTCACCGGAGGATTGTGAAGATGACACAGGAGCCGATGTGGCTCTCCACCTGTCACTGTCAGAATCCCAAGCTGAATCACAAATAACCGATTCATCAGTCATCGTGGACAACAGTGTCGGCAACTTGTCAGGCAAAAGCATCCAAAATGGGAACTCCACGGCACCAGTCGATCCCCTAACAAGGTCACTGATTTTAAATGAAAGCGGAACGTCTGAAAAATGTAGTTTGAAGATAACTGACAACGAAACCCAAAATACAGAAGAAGCCGTAGTGCTTGAAAAGCACGCTGCAGAAAGTCAGCATTTCCAAAGCGAACCTATAACAGCACAGCCTAAAGGGTCTGATCAAGATGTCTGCTCACAAAGTAAAGCTGTGAACAAGGATGCAGAAGAGATGCAGATATCACAAAACAAACCAAGGTTGGAAGAATCTGAAGGTGGCTTTCAGGGTAGAGCTGTGGAGGCTGAAGTAAGAAATGTCCTGGAACATGAAACATCACAACAACAAGCAGCAGGGATAGCCAAGCTGTCCTCGTCTGAAGATGATGCTGATAACTCAGTAGTAGAAGAGACCAATAAGACTAACCTATCCTGTTCATCATCTAATGGTATGCGAATACATTCACAGACATACAGGTGTGCAGTTCAGTTTTGTGTGTGGATGTGGGTATGCACATGCATAGAACAGGTGTTTAATAACTGAAAATAATACATTGCAATCTAATCAATTAAAAAAAGGGGAAATATAAATATACCCATATTAGCACTTTCATTGCCTCTTTATTTTTTTACATTGCTTAACATTTTCATTTGGTTATTGGCATAATCTTGTCCACAACTGTATAAGCAACGATAAAGAGGGTTTTCAGAACAATATTAGGAGCTATATTTCCCACAGTTGGATTGGAGAATGAGGTTATAAACAAATTAGGAAAAAAAATAGTCGTCTCTTTATTTCTTCATAGCATAGTCAACATAAAATGAACATTAATTCTAGAAATAATTGAAGAGCATAACAAAGAAGGCTACAAAGGTATATTTAAGATGTATGAGGAAAACAGTCACATACAAGCGATTTTTTTATAAAATAATCGTTGGAGGGACACATCTGGAAAAAAAGCAGTTTGGGGCCCAAACGATGAACTTAATAGGCAGATGACGAGGTATTCTTAGGTTTTTTCGGTTAAGTCACGTGACTTAACCGAAAAAACCTAAGAATATGAATCTTTGCAGTCACGAAAGCTTCAAATATAGAATAGATGACGAGGTGTTGTGGAGGCTTTCTAAATTGGGGTTAAATATTGTAGTTATCAAAATTTCTTGTCGGTTTTTCTACTTCACTCCTTATGTGGAGAGACATGATTATGTATATTCTGCGTATCTATTTGGTTACTTACATTCTCCAGAACACATTGTGAAATGCATATTTGCATGCAACTTCATAGCCACCCACAGCCACTGACTTACTTGTATGTCGTCTAAATTATGGGACCTTGGGCCTGACTTAATTTTGGAACAAGGGCTGGTGGATTCAATGAGTATTGCTGACGTGACCCACATGGGTGTACAATTGGATGAAACAAAGTAGACGCTGTCTTGATGTTTTCATCTTCTCTATATGAATGCAATTTACAAAGGTGCCAAAAGGGAAGTGGCTTAATTGCCAATTTCAAAATCATCCCTACACATGGAATTCTCAGCAATGACAACGCTGTAATGCTAACACATATTCTGTTCCCTCCTCTCAGATGGGACTGCTGATTTGTCTGTAATGAGACTTCTCCCAAGTTATACATTCATAGTTTCTGAGAAATAAAGGGAACAAGTGTGAAAGGAAATTGTGTGACCTTTCAGTGGGGCGTTTCTTTAATTTAAGAATCAGGCTCATTAATTCTGAATAATTTTCTTTTGGAAAAACCTGTTTTGCTAAATTATTAATATTTTTTTTAAAGTTTCGTATCTCTACTTTCAACATGAATAGTTTTGTCATACATGTCAGCTTTTTTGTTTAATTATAATTTCTGCATGATCACTATTGCATGTGCTTCTTCACAAGTTTTGTTTTATTGTGTACAGAAGTGCAGTTCCACTTTACTTTGCCAAAAGAGGGTGAAGTTATCCGGCTGCAGGCCAACATCACCCCACCTCTTATCCGGCAGATGCGACTTGCTCCCCGACACAGCACACCCATTGGTGGGTTACTGCTTCTAATAACGTGTGATATGATCACTAACATTGACTGGTGTTGGGTAACCGATGTGCCTAATAGTTGTACATTGAGAAAGAGAAGCAAAAATACTATCTTTTAGGCTTGTATGGGCAATTGTAGAGCGATATTTCAACACAGATTTGACGAACATAAGTTGTAATTTCTGCATACCGAAGACACTGTTGAGGCTAGCGTACCAAGGAATCAAATTACTGGTTGACATTTACTGTCCAGCAAAGGTGTTAAAAATAATGAAACAGGATAGACATGGCATTTAAAGATTCAGGGCAGTGCCTATGCTTGGTAAGGCAGGATACCATGTAAAACAAACCTTGATTCCGGTGACAATGATGAATTGTATAAGTTATATATTATAATGAGCCATGAAACTTATCTAGTTTTTCTAGCAAACAAAATAATTCAATAACCATTCCCCGATTATATATCACTTTTAACACAAGCACTAAAATTATTTATGACTAATTAATTTGCATATAACCAACCAAATGACCTATTTGATAACATTTTGCTCCCTTTAAAAAAAAAAAGTCTGCACACACCAAGGAGATGAAGAATAACATACACTTATTTAAATCAAATTACCTTTCTCCAAGGCAAGAATTGGGCCAAATATATCTCCCAGAAAAGACTAACGATGATAATTAATTTTTTGCCGCAGGTGGTTCAGAGCCTCCCCGGGCCCCCTCCGCAGCAAGCGACGTAGTGGCCGGAGATGACAGCAAGAGAAACCTTTCACAGGAGGGAGCCCAGCCTAGCCCTTCCTCCCAGCGGAGCCAGGGTGCGCGAGGGGACCTCACCAGCCAGGGCGGGGTACCTGAAAGCCCTTTAACCCCGCAGATACAGGGTAACCAAGAGGACGTGAGCTTTCCAGAAATGCAAGGAATCCAGCAAGAGGAGAACCGGTGTGTAAGGGAAGAAGAGAAGACGAGAGAGCAAATCAAGGGGAAGGAACATGAGAAGACTTCCCTAGAACCAGCACAGATAATCACTTCAACACCCATTGACAATGAGGAACAGCCCCACTTCAGCCTGAAAAGTAAGTCGTTGAGAAATATAGACGATAAGCGATGGCTTTATATAAGCTTATACTTGGTCATACAGTTCTGGCAATGTACATTTTATCAAATAAAAATCTCACCATATTCTTCAGTAACACTGCATCATAACAGGAAAATGTATAATAGGCTGATTGTTTTGGGCACTGGCCATTCAAATCATATAAAGGGCAGAAAAACTTGATGGTTGGAGATTGCACCCTCAGAAAACTGGAAAGTGTTAAGAAAGTTGACAAATGAAGCTTTTTTTACTAGCATAAACAGCTTGGCATGAGTAAACATTCCATCGTAAATAAACCCTTTACATCTAACAAATAGTGTATCTTGCATCACATACTCTAAAAAAGCAGCATTGTTAGATGTCATTAAAGAATTGCATCGTGCGGAAGCCATGTCCACCAGACACTCGGCAATCTACATTGACTTGACAATCACTCAACAGATGTACCAGTCACCTATAACCAAGTACATTCATCAGACGCTACCCACACTCAACAGTTACCTACTCAACTGATGCCTGAAAAAAAATCAAGACACTCAACTTACCCGACATCGCTCACACAATACTCATAACTCAACGAGAGCAGACATTCACCAGACACCCCTCACCTGGCACTCACCTGACTCACACCTCTCATCAGACTGTAACCCACTCACCAATTACAAGGCACTTTTACCGGGTACTCACCACTTGTACCTGATATTCACCGCACACCGCACACCACTCATACACCACTCACTCATACACCACACTCCAGACATTTATTATACACCACTTGCTCGACACCCGACTCTCACTAGACACTCGCCTGACATCTCTCACCATAGGCACTTCTCAGACAGTCATCACTCTCATATTACATTTTGTAAAAGAGGTTGACTCCACATTCAAAGGTTTCATAAGCATATGCAGTAGTGTGTTTTAGCCAGCAGGTGGCGTACCACTCATTCTAAATGTGTCAAGACCATAGACCTCTGGTTTGAGCTCATTTGATTATGCATGACTAAAAATGCTAATGTGAATTTTGTGACAGCTCGTCCTATGGACACATCCAGATAACGAGGATAAGCATTGTGCATCCACCTCTTCTTCCCTTGGCCCAGCCCCCTCTCTTGTGAGCTCCATCCCTTCCTCACTGTGACTCAGCCTCTTCCCCATTCGCCCTGTCCCTTCTCCATTGCCCCCACATTTCCCCAGGGTGGTCCACCACCAGGGTCACAATTTTTTCACCTAATCTCGTGGTAAATTTTATGTATCGTCAAAAACACGAGCATAATAGGCACACATAAAGTGAGCAAAATTAGTGTATAGTCTTAAATTATGCCTTCAAATTATTAAATATTTCCTGTTTACCTGAAGTAAAAAAAAAAAATAAGCAGCACCAGGGCCAGCAGAGATTATCATGGGACCCAGAATTTGGAGAACTTGAATAGCTTAGCTAGACATAGCAGACTTTTCTTTCACTCTCTTACCCTCTATTGTCTTTTTTGCTGTTTCACAAAAAAAATACTTGTTTACGACACATGCAGAGGTCATCAGATTCATTATCAGGTATAACATCACCCCTGTGATCTCTTTATGCACTGTGGTCTCGCCACAAATGTGCAGACGCAAATCCTTAATAATATACACTGACTGTGAAAGGAATGTTTCTGTAATATATAATTTTTTAATACATCGCCATCAGCCATAACCAGCCCACGACTAGATGAAGTCATCCCAATGCCTGCGCCATCTCCAATGGGCCTACAATGCAAACATCCACCTCGCACCAGCAAGGGAGTGGATTTTATTGCTCCATCTTTGCGATGACCATCCCCTCGGAAGCATTCCCCCCCAGGGGATGCAAATTCAATGTTATGCTTGCGCACAGGCCAAAATCCCTTCCAGGCCAAGCCCAATTACTGGACAGCAAAAAATGCCTTCAATCTGTGTATGTTCTCGAATATGTTTGTGAAAGAAGACATTATTCAGTACCTGCATACACTTTTATTACGTAATGTTTATAATGTTATGTAATGCTTTTTTTTCTTTCAGAACCAGAAATACAAATGGAAGAGTTCATAGAAGATGAATTGAGGCGAGTATTTCAAAGTTTGTTGTTCAACCTTAGACTTGCTATAAATGTTATTCTCATTATATTAATCAATTAACTATTTTAAACCTTGTTTGAAAGCATCGCATTAGCGTTGTAATCTGCTTGGCACAATGAATCTAAAAGATGACACAATATAAATAATGCATTGGAACGTATATGGCAAGTCCTCTATTAACTTTGGGAATGCGTCCCTGGAAAATGGGACATTCGTCACGACAATGTAAATAGAAATCTATTTTACCATTGACATATACATTTTGGGTACATTCCTGGGGGTAATTTTTTTGTCAATTTGCAGAAAAATATGAAATAAGTAGGAAAAAAGATAACAAAAGATACCCAAATAGATGCTATATAACACGTTTAAATAAGTGATGTAAGGGTATACAAAGTACTCACCAGAGATGGCGGAGATTGTAGGGGCTAGTCCTGTATAGAGAGGCTAGTAATGCTTGAGTGCCCGTGTGTGGGCACTGTACCAAGTCATCACGTACGCTGCCCAAACAACCGCGTTGTTTGAAATGTAAAAAAAAGTGAATTATGCATTTTAAATCAAATTACGTTCCCTATTTCGTTGGCGATGTTTGGAGTGAAACAATATAAATAGTAACGTAAATATAGGCTTTACTGTAATAAATTAATCCTAACCATGCGGTCCCCAGTGTAATTTTGTAAGAAAGCATATGCAGGTAAAATTACCCACAACCAACTGCCCGCATAACCATACCACAAAATAAAAATCGCACCGAATCCATAAAAAAATCTAAAGGCATTATGTTTTACTTGAAAGATTTGTGTAGAAATACATTTATGTCCCACATTACTGTACCCATGTTTAAACTGCAAATAGCCAAGCAATATACCTGGCCATGTACGCAAAACTTAGGAGCACATGTGAGGCTCCAAATCGAATCACCAGGCCATCCTTTCTACATGAGTTTCTTATAGCAGCTAGATTCAGTACATACACATCAAAGAAGGTCTAGACCAATCGGAATGGCACCCATCCATTGACAAAGATGTGGAACAAAACCCATTTTTGCATATTTTTCTCAAACCCCATAGTTTGCAATTTTATGTGCTAGTCATCTACACATCGGCTTACACTCAGTATAAATAAAAATAGATATATAAAAATGTGTTCTAAATGAATATGGATTTTAACAAAGTACGAACAACTGGTGGTGGTGGTGCATGCCTGTAATCCAGCACTGGAGACAAGGGTTGGTGGATTGCACAAATGTTGCAAAATTCCCTTCCTGTGAGCATCGAGGTAGCATACCCTAGCTTGTCAGAAGGTGGTACAGTAAAGTGCTAATATAATCTCTCCTGTATAGGATACATTGTTGCACCCTTACATGTGTGGATTTTATCCAGCTGATTTTATTTCCTCCCGCATGTATAAACTCATTCATTGACTGAAAACATTTTAAGATCTGAAGAGTCTTCGGCCGTTTTTTGGTGCCAGCTCACCACCTGGTTGCCTTCCAGCTTGTCTGGTTCTTCAGAAATTGTGAGATGCAATTTACATGTACAATAATATCTAAACGTAAACCATTATGAATCAGAAGGCATCATTTTTTACCATAATTGTGTAGTCCACGAATTTATCACAGATTAATTTAGCCGCTAGTCACGTACCGTGCCTGTCCTCAAATCCGCAAATATTTCATGAATTAATGGCATCACGTAGCTAATTCCTCACAATCCCCAGCACACCGCATCTCCGTGAACATATTTCTCCAGATTATAAATCTAACTTACCACTTTTGACAACTTTGACGCTGGCATTTGGTGTTGAAAAATTGGCAATTTGTACTTATAAACTTTATTTTTATGCATTTTAAACGACTTGCTTACATTTTTCTCCATCTTGCACTTATCTTTTTTGTATTGTTGATGTAGCTTACTGACCTGCCCCTACTGAACATCAGTGAAAAAGAGCTTCATAGCTCATTGTATTCCTCTAGGATAAATAGAACCTCCAGGGTGTGCCGTTGATTACAGGATCTGTGTTGTGATCCCCCAATATCACCACATTACTGGAGGACTGCTGTAGTTTTGAGCTTTGATATCTTTTCCATGATGAAGTTACCAAATTTTGTGCAAAACATGTGAAATTTAAGGTAATTAATATGGGCTTTCTTGAAAAATATTACTAACTGACTTTTTCTAAAGTTGAAATGATTGATAGTGTTGATTAAAAAGTTCTGCCTTTTCAGGAGAAATCACTTTGTGACCATCATACCATTCAAATGTTCACAAAGGCATAACATGATATTAAGTAGTATATTTATCCATTTGAGCCTATCTACCTAAATACTATCCACATTTGCTCATTATAATGATGTCTCATTTGCTCATTATAATTATGTCTGATGCTGTGCCGTCATGTCTCAATCGTACAATTGTTTGACATCAACTTTCAAAGGGTCTGTACTCTATATCTTTTGAGGCTTGCTTTTTATATGCTATTGGCGAATGCTGTTGCAGGCCACCTATGGTGCAATCTGCGGCCCGTAAGGGTGGTGAAGATGGTACTGTCATTGAAACAACCAACAATGCTACATCTTCTAGGTATGGTCTTGCAAAATCCAAGTAAAAATCTATTGTGTTGGTGAGAAAAATGTGGTGTGTGGAAATTGGTTTGCATTATAACCCTATCATTGTGTACCATGATATGGTTGCATTTTAAGGCTTGAATACAATTGACCGATAATCACTTTAACACATTTATAAATAACAAGCTCAGTATATTCGTAAATAACACTCTTAAAATGTAAACATAATAGATTATGGGTTGGGGAATGTCCCGTCTTCACAACACATAAAGATGCTAGACTGGAGGTAGATAAAGGCTGGAAACAGAACTTTATACCATAGGGCCTGATAAGAAGCCTGGGGTTTGGAAGACTCTACAGGGGAGGAGCGTGCCAGACACTGAGAACTCCCCCGAGACATTCTGTACTTGCTTTTCAAGAGGATTTGCTGCAGTCTCAAGCTGGAGTCGTTGGAGGAGTCCCTGGAGGATGAGCCTCTATTCTAGAGACAAGCCCTATAAGCACTCCTCACTTTCTTTTCTGGTGTCGTTCGTCTTCAGACCACGAGAAAATAGGCCAAGCCTTCCAAGTTGACGATTTTAAAACCTTTGCATTGATGCCATCCGTGGATGCAGCCATGGTGTCCAAGGTCTTAACTGGCCACCCCACCCTGCAGGATGAGAGATTACAGATCATTCCTGATCCTATTGAAGGCCTTTTGAGTGTCTACGCCCCAACACTTTACTCACCTCCAGAGATTTATGACCAGTTCTATGAAGATCTTCACAATATTATTCACAAAATTTCCAGCTCTGAGCACATGTTTCTGTTGGGAGACTTCAATGCAAGGGTTGGGGCTGACCACGACGCGTGGCCCACATGCCTTGGCTATCATGGCATCGGAAAGATGAATGCCAGTGGCCAAAGACTACTGGAGCTCTGCTCATACCACAATTTCTGTATCACAAACTAATTTTTTCTCAAAAAACCATGCAATAAAGTATCATGGAGACATCCAAGGTCTCTTAATTGGCACCAACTGGACCTCGTCATCACCCGACGAGCCCTCCTCAACGTAGTACTCATCACACGCAGCTACTGCAATGCAGTCTGTGACACCGATCACTCGCTGGTATCCAGCAATGTCAGACTACGCCCCAAAAAGATACACCACCTCAAACAAAAGTGCTACCTACTCATCAACTCTGCCAAGACCTCCCTCCCAGAACTCACTCAATTATTCCAACACAGCCTTGAGCAGTCCCTACACGACACATCCAAATGGAAGCGTTGAGACAAAGTGGGCGTATATCAGAGACGCCATCTTCTTCAATGCAGCCATCAATATCTTCGGCAAGCAGACAACGCAGAACACAGACTGGTTTGAGGAACACCTGGCTATATTGGAACCCATCCAAGCCAAGCGCATGGCGCTCCTGAAGTACAAGCAAGTTCCAAGTACAGGATCATTAAGGGCTGTGAAAGCTGCCCGCAGTGCAGCTCAAACAGCCGCCAGACGCTGCGCCAACAACTCCTGGCTGAACCTCGGCAGTAGGATCCAACTCGCCTCTGACACTGGTAATATCCGTGCCATGTATGAAGGAATCAAGACAGTTATTAGTCCAACCATCAGGAGGACTGCCCCCCTGAAATCCAGCACAGGGGCCATCATCCCTGATAAACAAAAGCAAATGGCCAGGTGGGTAGAACACTACTCCGTGCTCTACTCACGAGACCAAGGTGTGTCAGAAGTTGCCCTTGCTGCTGTAAAACCCCTACCAATGATACACGAACTGGACAATGTTCCAACCTTGAATGAACTTGACAATGCCATCAACTCACTAGCCAGCGGCAAGTCCCCGGGACAGAACGGCATCACACCTGAGGTACTGAAATGTGCGAAACCCGCCATCCTCACAAAACTCAATGAACTTATCTGCCAGTGCTGGGAAGAAGGAGCAGTGCCGCAAGACATGAGAGACTCTAACATCATCACCCTATATAAAAAGAAGGGTGACCGTGGGGACTGCAATAACTACCACGGCATCTCCCTGCTGACCATCGTGGGGAAAACCTTTGCCCGTGTGGTCCTCAGCAGGTTACAGATACTAGCTGAGAGGACGTATCCTGAAGCTCAGTGTGGCTTGAAGGTCCACAATTGACATGCTCTACTCCTTGCGTCAGCTGCAGGAGAAATGTCGAGAACAGAGAATACACCTGTACTTGGCATTCATTGATCTTACAAAAGCCTTTGACCTCATCAGTAGGGGAGGCCTCTTCAAACTCCTCAAAGTGATCGGCTGCCCACCGAAGCTGCTGGCAGTCATCTCCTCTTTCTATGACAATATGAAAGGAACAATACAGCGCAGCGGCACCACCTCAGAGGAATTTCCCATACTCAGCGGTGTAAAGCAGGGTTGCGTGCTTTCCCCAAAAGTATTTGCCATCTTTTTCTCACTTATGCTCACACATGCCTTTGGGACAGCAGAAGAGGGAGTCTTTCTCCATACAAGATCTGATGGCGAACTCTTCAACCTTGGCCGTCTCCGATCCAAAACCAAAGTCCGCAAAGGCCTTATCAGAGAACTCCTATTCGCTGATGATGCTGCGCTGACAGCTCACACAGACCAAGGTCTGCAGACACTCATCAACCACCTTGCCAATGCCTGCAACAACTTTGGCCTGACAATCAGTCTGAAAAAGACCAATGTCATGGGCCAGGATGTCAGAGACACCCCTTCCATAAACATTGGCAGCTACACCCTGGAAGCCGTTCAGGACTTCACCTACTTGGGTTCCACCATCACCTGCCATTGTTCCTTGTCACAGAGATTGACAAGCACATTGGGAAGATGTCTACATCTATGTTCAGGTTGACCAAAAGAGTGTGGGAGAACAAATCCCTAACGCTCAACACCAAAGGTGTACCGGGCCTGTGTCCTTAGCACCCTCCTCTATGGGTCTGAGTTCTGGGCAACATCCGCCCATCAAGAACATCGACTAAACACATTCCACCTCCGATGTCTCAGGCGCATCCTCGGTATCAGATGGCAAGTTCGCATTCCCAACGCCTCAGTCCTCAACTTGGCCAATATTCCCAGCATGTACTCTCTACTCGGTCATAGGCGCCTGAGATGGCTTGGACACGTGCCTCGCATACAGGATGGCAGAATACCCACGGATGTCTTGTACGGCGAGCTGGCATCAGGCACACGGGCCACTGGTCGCCCAGTCCTGCGCTTCAAAGATGTCTGTAAATGGGACATGAAGAGCTGCAAAACCCAACCCAAATGACTGGGAGAAAACAGGCCTCAGGAGAGGCGAGGAGAAAATACACTGCTTGGCAGACCGAGGGAGCGATGTAAAGAAAAAGCAGTAAATACCTCTGGAGCTGCCACCGCATTCACTTTCCTCTGGAGCTGCCACCGCATTCACTTGCAATTGCTCTGGCAAGGATTGCCACTCAAGGATTGACCTACTAAGTCATTCTAGGCGCTGCAAAACCTACAGCTGACCTCGTAAGGTGCAAAAGAATTGTCTCTTGATTTAGACACACAAGCCTATGATGATGATGACTTCGGACAAACAATTGGGTTCTGCGCTCTGTATGTTTTAGTTCTATTTACATATCTCAGCTGGTTGGCACACTTCACAGCAATGTTCGTGTATTAGTTCAGTTCAGCCGTCAACCGCTCTGATATTTTACTCCACAGTGCCTATTGCACATGGGCATTTGTGTGCTCGATCACACAAGGCTGATGGCTGTTTTGAGTTCTACCCTCTTTTGTGGTCTGCACTAGGCCGTTGCTATGTGCTAGCCCCCTTCTTTCACCCTCTCTCTTCATCCTTTCGTTCTTCAGAGAGATTGGTCTAGTTCTGTTTCGAACTCCCATTATATCAGCACAATCTGGCACTCATTGCTACCTCCGAAAGCTGTCTACATCATATCCGTTACCCTTAGGAATAATACTTACATGAAATGAGGACCAAGCTGTAGATGCCGACAATGACTGCCAAAAACTGTTTTTTCTAAGGTACACAAACTCATTGTTCTTTCTTTGTAATTTCCAGCATGCATCTCACCATCCTCCTTTGTACTTTTCAGCATTTTATTTGTCATTGGTCTTGTTTCTGAAGCATTTGTCATGTACACGATGAATGAAAATTAATGTATTATTTGCTTATTCATGCCCATGTGTGATTCGTTTAGCTTCAAAAAAATTCAAGGATCCGAGGAAGCTAGTGAGCAAGAGATACTGAAGATTTGTGAAGAGACAGAAAAGCCACAAGTAGAAACTTCTGATTCCCACGCTCAAGATCCAGTAACCCTGATTGCCCCCTCAGTTCCTAGCCCAACTGAAGGGCAATTTCCTCTGCCCAGATCCTGCCAGAATGAGCCCATCCGACAAAAAGAACAGACAACTGAACCAAATCCTCTGGATGAGCAAGAAGAAATGGAAGTTGACTCTTCAGCAGCTAGGAATGAGGCTGTAGACCCTGGATTGGGAAAGGTTGAATTGGAGAAGAGTGCAGCTGATAATGTGCATGTTGGTGAGAAAGCTGCAAGTGGAGTTGGTTTGGAGGAGGAAGCTGGCATGACGGAGCATGCTGCATTATTTGCTCAGACATCTTCCTGCACATCTGGGTTATCTGAGACAGCTGGTCAAACCAAGGAGACCCAGACAGAAAGCAGAGTGGGATTTAATGGTAAGAAGCAGTTTTTAATGGTAATTCAGATTTTTTTTACGTAACCCTTTCAGTGGAATCCTATGCCTACTGTTACATTTAATATGGTTAAAATTCTGTAAATATCACCTGTTGTAACGCTTTATGACATTTTTCTCATCTTGACAATTGTTAGATTTCGGTAAAATGTTGGTACAAATTTGGCAATGTCCCCATTAATACCAGTGGAAACTGCCATATGTTCTATTTATCAAGTTCCACTAATTGCCAATGAAAGGTTTTTCCAGTATTTAGTAAAACATCCTTGTGGTTGTATAGAATCGATATAGAATGTATCATAGAAATTAAATTTTCTAAGTATGTTGTCTCATACAATAAGCCACCCGGAGATTTTTACAAATAAGAGAATTCTCAAAGAAGATGTTGCATATTCTTGGTTCTTTCGGCAAAGTCACGTAGAAGGGAAATAATAAAATAATACAAATTAAACAATACAATTCTCACGACGTTTCGATTGCAACACAAGCTTCAACACCTGATGATGATTGCTTGTGTTGCAATCGAAACGTCGTGAGAATTTTTTTGTTTTATTTTATAATTTCCCTTCTACGTGACTTTACCGAAAGAACCAAGAATATGAATCTCTGCAGTCACGAAAGCTTTAATTCGAAAGATGTTGCATGTTAATTACTCCTAGACATTGGCATTATGATTTATAACTGCAGTTTGTAACAGCCAATTTTAAAGAGTTTACATAATTGAGAACATGCTGCAAATATTTTTCTGTTACTGGATTGCTCTTCTTGCCAAAGCATAATTGAATACAATAAAATACGCCAAAAATGTGATCAAGAAACAGCCATTGGCTTTTATAAAGTACTAGTTCATAAAGCCTCTCTTCGCCAGGCAAAATTATTCAATAACTATAATAATTAACCTGATATGATTTTTTTACAATTTAAATCTACGATCAGACACTAACAACTACTCAAAACATGTGTATTTTTCCGCAAAAAAAATCGTTGACTACTTGATTCAAATTATTATATTTAAAGACATATACATTGGAAACCGCTTGATTTCAAGATTCCATTCATGTTTAATTAGAAAGAGCAAACTTAATACTCTTTGAGGGGAAGCTCCTATCTTTGACCGTTTTCCAATTCAGATTTGAACATCATAAAATGCGTATTTTTTTCATTCAAAACCGCTTGAATCCAAAATATTAAAAAAGGATAGAACCCTGGTTCTCGATAGAATTTTATTTACTGTTTTACACTCTATGAACCTAAATATATATTTGGAACGGTTTATGAATGACACGCACAAACATGTTTATGGGGCACTTAAAATCGAGATTTGGGGGCCTTAAAATGAAAAATGTCGGATTTTCAGTTTTTCTTGTTGTTTATGTTCTAAAAGCTACATATGTACCACATTTTAGCTTTCTATCTTGTTGGGAAGTGCCCTAGAGGTTTTTGAGACATACAGATTAAGGTCTTTATACTGATAGATTCTTCATGTAGACGTGTGTATATGTTGTGTAATGAGTACACAAGGATATGCAATGATTAGGTGCTTGAATGTCATGGCCTCTCAAAGGGCCTACACATATATGCGGTGTATATGCACATATTTTATTTTAACGAGTAAAATAAAAGTTCAGTTTTAACATATATTTCACCTTAATTAGTTGTAATCTTGTTTATAAAGTTGATGTTTACAAACAATGCAAATGAATATGGCTGGTGTAACTTTGTGTGCAGTGGGAGTTGAGAGATGCCTGGGCTTGACAAAGCTACGGAACATTGCTGTGCAGACGAGGGAGGATGGAGAGAGCACAAGCCATGGCACAGAGGGGGAGGCCGATACAGTCTCTCTACACAGTCAGGTAACCCTCAAGAGCCTGATACAGTCTCCTTTCAGAGCCAGGAAACCCTCACTCGCTTGATACAGACTCCCTATACAGCCAGATCATCCTGACTAGGTTCTCAAAGTAAGGTCTTGGGCCAACTACAGCCGGTCCAGAATGCGGCTGCCAGGATGCTCGCACGAACCTCATCCCGTAAGCACATTATCCCTATAATAAAATATCTGCATTGGCTTACAATTCAATTTCAGGTACAATTTAAAGTATTGCTGCTAACATTCAATGCCTTAAATGGCCTTGCACCATTTACATGTTTAGTGACTGTGAATGTCACTGTGTGGTGCCGGCCTTGCGAGGCCACGGCAGATAATATGTTGTCATGTGCAGCCCGGTTACTGGGTGTAGTACTAGCCTTAGCGGGGCTTGGGTGAGCGCTGATTAGCGCAGAGGCACCACGTACAGTGTGCGGTGCGGGCTCCCAGTGAGGGAGCGAGAGGGAGTGTCAGCCAGCCAGGGTTACGTTGGGGCATGATACGCTGGTTGACCTGCCGACACGTGACCGGATGATATTGGAGGGAGGCCACCGGTGGACGGGGGCCGCTGGGTGGTCACGTGGTATAGAGGAGCTCTCGGGAGCCTTCGGGAAAGAGCTCGAGAGATCTAGAATGCGGGCGGGGCGAGGGGCGGAGCCAGCCCCAGCCCAGGCCGATATAACGGGGGCCCCGTGAGGGGCTCGGGGTTCTTGACTGTTGGTGAGTGAAGATCCACGTCGGGTTGAAGAAGCTTCTAGCCACGCAGTCCGGGACCCAGCTCATGGTCTGGACCGGGATAGCGAGACCGTGTCTAGTTCTGCCGTAGCGTGGTTAGATGGGCGTTCAACACCCGAGTGTAGGTTACGTTATGTTGTGTTGAGTTGATGTAATAAATAGTGTTGCTCCAAAGACAACGTCTGCGACTCAGTTGGGCTCACTACAATCGCATTAATGCGTGTGCAAATGTACATTATATAAGGAGCTTGGTGATTTTTTGCCACACACCATTATTGACAAACTTACTTAATATTTGTTGACTGTCTTTTCACCTGCTTCAAACTGCTTTAAACTTCTAATTTAACCTGTAGATTAATACTTAGCCTTTTTTGTCAGAGGCACTATCATCATTTACTGTACATTTTTCACTCTTTGTACATTTTTTAACTATCACCTAGCACTATTTTTCTCCCGAAAACAAAATCGTGGGCTTGGCAGACGGTGGCTGAACACATGACGGAGGGATTTTCAGTGGTACGCTGTGTGCGCACATACAATGTAATATACATTCAAGAATGTGTTTTCACTACGTTCATTCCGAGTTGAAATATAGTGCATATTTATCATGCAATTTTTTAAAAGAATACATTTGCGAAATATTAGATTTGTAAGAAATATGTTTCCTAATTAATCAGCAACGTATATGTGAAACAACTCATTTTACGGTAACTTGTAGTGGAGGATTACTGTACCATCTTTATGTTTACTGATGTTTTTTCTCTCTAGAATACCTTTGAGATCTTGTAGATTCAAAGCGTTACTTGAGAAAAACACTTTGGCTTTGAGAAAAGTGGAAAGGCTTTCACGTGCAGAAGGTTAAAGATATTTAGCTTGAGTTATCTAAATTTGTGCCTTAAAACATGTTTTGTATAGTTGCTAAATTTACATATTACGACTTGTATGCTTGACCAGTATACTCGTATGTGTGTTGTGTCTTATGGGGATACTGCATTATCGTACCAAAGCATTTAAATAAAATGAAGAGTTTAACTATTGTACATGTTTTACCTTTGTCAGTGTTCCCGATGCAGTTTATTACACACTTTTATTGAACTTACCTTGTCTTTATATTCTTTCAAATCTTTGACGCTTAATATCTTCGGATCTACGAAGCCTAAAGAGCTGACATTTTCTGCAAATCTCGCGTGACAATTCAAGATTTCATTTAAAAAAGTTCCTGTTCCCGCCGATCCTGGGCTTATTCGTTTTTTCCTCCATTTTAATATTTAATAGTCGAACATTCTGCCCCCGTATTTCAAATTACGAATGATCGCGCCTGGCTACTCAGGGAAACGTCTTGTCTAATCAGAGCTGCTGTTGTTCGGGAGCCTATGACCAATGAAAGGAGCGCTTATATCGCCACTCGTCATGGCGCCGGAGCGGCCGCTGTGGTTCCCTCTGCCTTAGCGGAGGAACAACAATTATAATAATAATTATTACCATTGCTATTGATGAAATAATTATATAGCTATAATAGTAATAAATAATCTAATTTGCTTTGTCACGCCCATTCCGACGCTCTGAGCGCAACATGGTTATGCACAAGTTAAGTGAGCAGGTAAAAACCGTGACCATGATTTAAAATAGCAGTTAAATAGTTAAAATAGTTTTCACGGTAAAAAAATAGGCAAAAAGCAAGTTTTTCAATGCATATACTTTTATTTGCACTCAAAAGTAGAAAATACATTATTTTCCCCCCAGAATTAATCACATTTGATGTGCTAAATAAAAGTGGGTGGCTTCCTTTCGAAATGTAGAATTTGCTTCATGCATGCCACCCACTTATTTTCTACTTTTGAATGCAAATAAAAGTGTGTGCATTGAAAAACTAGTTTTTTTACCAATTTTTTTTTGTCATGTCGTCTCCTGTATGTATTCTGTTGTGTCTTGTGCTAAATTTGTTGAAAGTGATGTGTGATTGGCATTTTAATGAGCACATTCCTGTTTGTACGCACGTGTGTGTGCTGGGCTGCCAGGAGGAAGACAGTTTGCCCTTACCAGCGCCAGCACCCGGGAGGCTGGTGCACAGGCACGTGCGCACAATTCGCGAGGTGAAAATCACTCGTGTCATCACTGACGTCTACTACGTCAATGGCAAGGAGGTGGAACGGAGGGTCACTGAGGTACGTCACTTTTAAATAGTGTCACACAGTACAGAAACATGCTGCGCGGAAATGTATTTGCAACATAAAGCAACTAGAATGTAGAGTTCAGTAACATTGAGGTACGTCATTCTTAAATAGTGTCACACAGTACAGAAACATGCTGTGCGGAAATGTATTTGCAACATAAAGCAACTAGAATGTAGAGTTCAGTAACATTTTTTCGAACGAAGAAATATGTATGCTATATTTAGGCAGGTATGATATTGGTGTGATTGGTTATCAATCTTTACAACCACAAACCTTTGAATGATTTTGATCCATGCAAAATGGTTGGTCCAATAAGAATTAGCTCTGTTATGTCCTGACATTACTGACTGACCTTTCTGAAAAGCGCAATAATTTGTGAAATGGTATCATGAATATGCAGCATGGATGCTGTAACAAAAATACCAATTGGGAAAATTACAACTGTACTATCAGATTTCACCTAAATAAGAATAGGGCCAACAATGGGTCTGGCCTTTTAGTATTGAGGAAATTCAATTATTGCAAAGGAGCAAGCAGATGCTTACAAGAAGGGCCGTGTCTTCCTTATTAGTGAGGTACTGTTATTGGATGGCATGTGTGAACCGATATCGCTTAAAAACATGGTTGGGCCTAAACCACTTTCCTGCCAAGTTCTGTGAAAAATCCACTGTTAGAACAATTCGTATAGTGTTTGATTGACAAACATGTTTTAAAATGAACATTTTAGGACCTGTTTTGATATTTAAATATTATACCAAAATTGAAACATGAGGCTTAGCTCACATTTCAATTGATAATCTGTATGCATAGCAGGAAGGGTTTTAATTTAAACCCAACATTTACAAATGCTGAAATTGTGATATTTGTTAAATTTGTGGCAGAAAATGTTAAAGTGGATATCAGTTTTACCATAATTAAATGACATTATTTGGTGTGGCAGTGGTGCACACGCACATAGTACAACACTCTTAACACATTAATCATTAAATAATGTCAGCTAATATATCCCTTCCTCTCACTCAGCTGCTAATATACACGCTTATGAAGAAGAAATTAGTGCCTAAATCTTGATCAAAACAAACAAATATTGTCAATCAATGAGAACATTTTACGTGCAAGTTGAAAAGATTGGAATGCATATTTTTAAGATTAATGGATGAAACCAAACATCTTATGCTCTAACAGCACAATGGAAGGCCATGCCAGATGGAGAGGTTTTTCTGTGACGCTTTTTTTACTTTATCTTGACCTGTGTGAATTAATTTTTGCCTAAACCGACATGCAACTGATGAGGATTCTCACTGACTTTTATAGGTGTTTTATCGTCTTACCATGTGGAAATGTGGGCTTTGTGATTGTGTTGGTTTTGATTGCAGGAAGCAGAAGCACCAATTGTGGAACGGCAAGAGTATGAGCAGAGCACAACATCGCCCTCCCGCACCGTGAGCTCGCTCACGTCCGGTGACCTGGCTGACGTCAGCTCATTGTCCACCAAGGTGTCCAACGGGACGGGCAGCCTGCAGAGGACGGGCAGCAGCACGTCTGGTGGGGGCCACTCGAGTGTCAGCCTCAACCGCTCCGGTAGTGGGGGTACATTAGCAGATCCACCCAGCACCAGCCTCCAGAGGTCAGGGAGTGATGGATCTGGTGGCCACAGCAGCGGGGGCTTCCACAAGCCATGCGCAGCAGCAGCTGTCAGTGGGCACAAGTCCACAGACAAGGGCCACCACACCTCCAAGAAGGACATGGAAAGGGAGAAAGATGTTTCCACAAACATCCGCGGCAGTGGTAGAGCTGTCTTTGAGGACAACGGGGGAAAGCTGAGCAGTAAAAGTACACTTCTTAAAGTGCAAGCTGGGCGTGGCTGTGAGGAGGTCTGGGGCGAGGGAGCACGAGTCGGATACTCCAGACAGACTCACAGCATGCCACGGACAACGCGGGGCAAAGGCAGGGGCCGTGGCCACCGTGCACCGAGGTATGTGTTATTACCATATCTGTGCTCTTATTCATTCTGCATACCCAGCATGTCACTGTTGTCTTATTCCATGCCATAAAATATTCGGTTTAGAAAATCAGGGAATTAATTACAGGGTCTATAATCACTCATCAGGTGTTGTCAGCGGTGGTCACTAAACACTGTAAAGAGAGGCCAGTTTAATTATTAATATGATGGTTGTAACTAATGGCACATGAAAGGCTGGTCACAGAGAAATGTGGCAAGAGCTGATTGGGTTGAGAAGGGATTTGTGGGTGATGCAGATAGCATTGTTGTTATAGTGTATAATTATATTATATATGCTACAGCTGGGCCTTATCATCAAGTAGCCAATTCAAGACGAATATTTAAGATACTTGCACATATAATGAGATCTACAAATAGCACAGTAGCACAATACGAGAAGTGCAATAGATTTGTGTTGCTTGGCAGTTACATAATATAATCTGAAATTTATTATGGGAAATAATTAAGCATTGTTGTTTCAGTACATGTTCACAAATGAACAAACGAATTGGACTATTAATGAATACAAATTTACTGCGGCAATACCAAGCACAATAATACCGTATGGTAACATGCTTTAACAATAATTTTGCCAAAAATTCACAAACTTGGTGTTCCATTAAGATCAATACGAAGTACAGTCGGTTCTGCTACATATACATTGGAACAATATGTAACCAGGCAAAAACAGCCTCATAATGGCAGCACCCTCATTAAAAAAACTGAACAACTGGTGAATATAATTAAAGCTTTTAAACTTAACCTGGATGATATTCTGGTTAGTTTTAATGTGATTTCTCTGTTCACCAAGGCCCCAATTACTGAGTCGATTAAGATATTAAATTATTTGGTTCATAATGGTTTACCTAAACACATCTCACAATTGGCTAAACTCAGCTTAAATAACACATTTTTTTTAGAGATAATATTTTTGTTACAAACAAAATGAAGGAGCATCAGTTGTGAGTTTTCCGGTGTCTCCTGTTGCTGCTAACCTACACGTGACATTTTTGAAAGCAAACGCGCGAGCTTCAAGCACACAACACATCTCATTGGTTTTGATATGTGAATCACACGCTTGTCTGGCCACATGGTAAAAATACACGTAATGAATTCCTAAATCACCTCAATTCATAAATCCCATCCATCCACTTTACCATAGGAGTAGAAGAGGCAAACACCCTCCCATTCCTGGATATTTTGCTTGGCCAAATGGAAAATTAACACGTCGTTCATTACAACAAAAATCCTCATGGATTGCTCTCCAACACCGTGTGCGAAATCAGTAATAAATCGACACGTTTGTTCACGTGACAACTTTATTGATTGGCTGTGTTGGGTAGAGGAGGGTTTATGATGCATTTTACTCACCCATTCCTCGTGAAAGCATACGTGTTAAATTTACTAAAGTGGATGCTTAGAAATCTTTACCCCTACTAGCAGACTCATGCCCCAGGTCACTTGCAAATGAGACTACCTTAATATCTTAACTTCTCACCAGGTTAAACAAAATAATATGAGATGTAAATACAAACCTATTTGAAATGTGTAGTATCTTGTTATCAATGTGTGCGTACATGTATTTGTGTTGCAGGAAGCGTTATCCTTGGCAGGGTCCACAAAGCGTTGCTCCAATTATGTTTTTGGAGCCAGATACCGAATGGGAAGAGATTGCAGGTGATGGAGATGCCGGGGATGAGGATGATTCGGATCCAATTGAGCCAGAGCCCACAGCAGAGTGGACACTAGTAGCAGACCGTGGTCCCCAAGCCAAGAACTTAAAGCGTGCGACTGAATGCAGCATCATACCAGCAGCCGCCCGGGGAAGCTCTGATGGAGACATGCAATCAGATGGGTAAACGTGAAACTGCACAGTCACTGAAATTTATTCAGTAGTCGCCCTATAGCTGTGGTAGTAAGAATATTTTAGAATGCAAGCAATTAATACATTAATTGGGTTTCAAATATGTAATTAAATACTTATTTTATTTACAAATGTTATCTTTTACTCTAAGGCTTTTGATGTGGGAATAATATGTAAAAAAACTAATTGTAATGTGGAATACCATATCTGTAATATCAGGTTTTCAAAAAAATTCCCCCACCCCTTTCTGATTGACACCTTAATTCTATGAACACATTTAGTGCATGCCAGTTTATTTCTAGCTTTGCTATATTTTTCCTCAATGCATTCTCGTTAGTCCTTGGCATCTGTTAGTTGTGCATATAAACCTCGATAATTAGGTATTTCATAATGATTTTCTTTTTGTGATTTAAACAATATTCAAAATTCTGAGCATAGTTTGATGAATAAAAATGTATTCTGAATATTGCGGTGAATGTAATGCATCTAGTGATTTCAGGAGTCACATGAACATTTCATATAGTTACAAGAAATGTAAACAATTTATTCTCATACAATTGTATAAATCCATTGTGAAACGAGTAATTGATTCTAATTGATGAATCAACGCATTGTTACATGTCTATTGGTAGATTTTGCCAACATATAAAAACTATCTAAGTAAGACAATGTAGCAGTTATATTGCTGTTTTCCTAAATTGCTTATGCATATTTATCTAGCTAACATTTTTTATCTACAAGGTACACTTCTAGTGCCTGGTTCATCTGTTTAAAAATGTATTTGCCAGTCATGTTTGACATCAACATGCCAATGACTGCATCACCAACAATGCAACAGATGGACAAGGTGATATGTTTGGTCTGTTTTGTCTTAGATGTGAATCTGGCCTTTGGTGTCCCACGATCTGGTTTTAGGTGTTTCACTTTGTCACTGACCTCTGGGTAGGCACCGGAGTGCCTGTTTTGATAACTTGCTGCCATCCATCTTGCACAGAATGCCCACTTATCCCAATGCATGTGTCTCAGCTACATTAAAACATGCTCACAAAGCCAGACTGCAAACTTTGCAATCAAAAAGTTTTACCTTTTCTAAAGCATCCTTGATTCTAGTTACCGGCTGAAATAACCGCTGGTAACCAACTAGTAGCAAAACAATGATATGATTGTAATGAAGACTAAGCATAAGCTAAACATATGCGTTTGTGGTTTACTCTGGGAAGTCTTGACCAACTTCCAGAATTACCTGTAATTACTAACAATATTGGGAAGTATTGATTGTTGTATCCACTGGGCAATGGATACATCTGTGTTTGATTCCCAGTCACATCAACATTAGTGATATATGAACGAGTCCTTCACTAACCCACACTGACCAGTGTGGTGAAGTATAATCAAATTTTTTATTTAAAACTTTCGTGAGTGAGGAATTCATATTCTTTGGTTCTTTCGGTAAAGTCACATAGATAGAAAACAAAATATATAGGCTTTCAATAGGTTGACAAACAATTGTTAAATATTTTTTTTATACTAACAATATACCTTGCTGAACTATTTATCCATCTGCTGAGCTGGGAGGATTTTTCTTTGACAAACTCTCTACTGGGCAATATTGGTGTGATAAAGAAATGCTTCTAATTGGAGTGCTGCTTTGCTTATTCGCAGTGGAGTCATCCCGGGCCCAGAGTGGCTAACCGCCGACTCCGGCGGCCCCTGTACAAGTCGAGCTGCATTGGCTGCTGCCGGGCCCTTTCGTCGCTCTTCCCTGCAACGCTCAGCCTCGCCGCTCATGCATCTTCAGGCAGAGGTGAGACCTCAATGTTTGAAATGTCTTTGTTTGCTTTGTCACACCGAGAATGTTTTCATTTATATTTTATGTAACTTAAAAGGATTGCCACATTTATTTGAGAGTAATCTGGGTTACAGATATACAGGAGCAAGAGCAGACTGATCAGTGAGCCCCTGTATTTCAATTCGAACTCGACTTCTCATGTGAAAGCTGTCTAGAGTCACAGTGTGAAAACGAACTGGAGTAACAGTGTGTAGTGAGTCCTAGGAATAGCAGTCTAACTCTGCTTACCTTGCAACCATTATCCAGTGTGACAGGGAGCAGGGAATCCCAGGAATATAAATACAAAGCAGTCTATTACTTGGTTACATTTTAGGCATCACGATAGACCACAGGCTGGGAATATCAGGTTGTCAGGGGCCCTTAGCCACTTCTTGCTTTGGTGGTCCTCAGTCGTGCGTGCGAGTGAGTGACAATGCGACTCACCTTTGACATCAATCGTCAGCTTTGGGAAATGTGACCCTGACATCTGGCTCAGCTCGGAAGTTGACCCTATGTGCGGTTGACAACACGACTTGCCTATGAAGTCAATCATCATATTCGGCATGTTTGATCCTGGTGCCTGACTAGTTTGGCATTGACCCCTATGTGCTGGTGACAAAGTGATTCACCTTGGCAGAGTCCATTCGTCTCTGCTTTTATGCCTCTATAACCTGCACCAGTGTGGAGGTTTTTCTTTATTGGGTGCAATTGTGAACAACAGCCATCTAATCTAGTACATGTAATACATCTAATCGGCATAATCATTGGTTCACTGCAGCTCAAAGACTTACTCCTACAAGACGTTTGGTGAAGTTAGGAGATGTCCATGTGCTCAGAATTTGAAAGCCTGAAATCCGGAATCGGTGATCTCGCCGACAATGTGTTTAGGGAGGCGGATCCACGCCCATGGTGCACCCAGAGACTGCGTGAGCTGTGCCCTGGCACCCTGGGCCTGTTCTGTTATCGCTGTCCCCTGGCAACGCACCGTTGGACAGCAATGCTGCCATGTTTTTACCATGTCTCTAGAGTTAAACTAATCTTATTGGCTAGTTTATTTCAACTATATAATTGTTTTAAACGAGGTACACCTTTTATATGCTTTAACAACAGACTGTTTTGCATAAACAAAATGTTTTAAGATGTATTAATTCAAATTCTTGGTTATTTCGGTAAAGTCACGTAGAAGGGAAACAATAAAATAATAAAAATATAAAACAATAAAATTCTTACGACTTTACCGTAAGAACCAAGAATATGAATCCCTGCAGTCACCAAAGCTTTAAATCAAAATGTATTAATTCAATTTAAATATCGATAGTTAAGATAAATATCTGCAATGCAATTGTGAGTGTGCTTTACTAAAAGACATGTAATTCCGCAGCAAGATGTGCCGGTGGTTACGATAGCCGGGGAGGGCAGCAACAGCGGCAGCAGCAGCAGCCTGGTGGGACTGCGCGTCGTGGCCAAGTGGAGCTCTAACGAGTACTTCTACTCGGGGCGGGTGGTGGGCGAGCGCGAGGCCGGGCGGTGCCGTGTGCGCTTCGACGACGGCTACGAGTGCGACGTGGCGGGCCGTGACGTCCTGCTGTGTGACCCTATCCCACTGCACACGCAGGTCACGGCGCTCTCCCATGACGAGTACTTCTCCGCAGGTCAGGAAGGGCCCAAACACGACATGCTACACCTTGGTCTTCAGAGCTATAATCGTACACACTCGACTTTGTATTCTGAGGACTGAGTCATCAGATTTATAGTTTTATATATTGTTTCATAGTTATGTAGTTATTCACTGTGCTACTGTTGTATTTACAGATATCTCATGTTGAATGTTTCCACACCAAAAGTCAAATTTTGGCACCAAATTAGGATTATTTGGCCAAGAAGTTCTCCAGAATAACCCCACTGAGTTGCCTAAAAGTTCCCTAGTTAGCTGCTTTACATGTCCTTCGTTGCCTCATTGATATTCAGGAGATCTGTTCTGAGTCTGAAGCCCGTATTCATTCTGTCCTCGCTGGGTATAATTGACACTGGTTTGCATTACCCATATCTGAATTACATGTTATTATTTGGTTGATGTATAACAGTTAAACTCATTTTATTTCAGGTGGTAACCTGGAGCTTGAACTCGGGTCTTGGAGAGATTTACCGAGGGAAGCAATTTTTTTGAGGCAGATAAACCATGATAATTGGTTCTTTACCCTTCTATCTGGCAACAAAACTGACACCTTTTTGCAAGGAGTCATGTTTGCATAGACCGCAATACCTGCAGTCATAATACAAACAAAAGAACATAACTCTGATACATAACTCTCATGACTCCTTGCAAAAAGGTGTCAGTTTTGTTGCCAGATAGAAGGGTAAAGAACCAATTATCATATTTTTACTGGCAAATGAGGTCCCCATAGTGCAGATAAACCAATGCAGCATATGCAGTGTCCATCACCATCTTTTCTGCGTACCCAAATATCCACAGAAGCACCAGATCACGAGTTATTTAGGTGGTATATTGTCCCTTAAGGATGTTTAGATATAAGGACTGGTGCAGAAATAACTATCGTGTGACTGCAATATCATGGCAACAGGAACGTTTCTGTGCTGTGGTGGTGAGTCCTGTGTTCATTCGCTGTAAACTGCATCCTGCACTTCATGGAAGTGGTCCCCATAATTAAAATAATAAAATATGAACACTCGTCACATCACCCAAAATCAAGTGACTTCATTAAACATAGGAGCTCTTCAGCTTATGTCACCCATATGTCTCCAAAGGAGATATGCAGAATGTGATAAAATCGCCCGAAAGTTTGCAATATACAAAATCAGTAAAGCCCTCACACTGTCGAGGTTGGGCAGTGCACTTTTAAGCCAGTGACTTGCAAAATAGTGATGTGTCATTATGTGTATGGGACACGTAGCTTAATACATTATTAGCAGTACAGCCAACTCATTCCTGAATTCTATCTGGTGGGGTTAATTATCACCCCCTTGTATACATGACATTTCTCTGGAGACTTTGCTTTACTCTCAAAAGAAAAGTACTACTAATATAATAGTTTAATATACACGATTGGAAGGTTAAACGATAGTTTTGGAGACTAAGGTTTTCTTGGGCAATATAAAACAATTCAAGCAAGTACAATGTATACATTTTAACGTTCAAAAATAATACCAGCACTATCATACGAGATACATTGGTGTAGATTTTTATTGAAGTAATTACTGCTAACCAAAACAATACAAAAATGTAAGTGGATACAACAACCGTGCGTATCAGTTTCATCTGAGACTATACTTTCAGCTTTACCCTGCGTAAAATGTTGCTCATGCATTGCCCCTTGTCCTGCATACCCCAATTGTGCACAGGGTACATCAAGGGGCACCGGAGGGAGGAGGACGAGCTGTACTATTGTGTGGAGAAAGACGGGCAGCGCAAGTGGTACCGGCGTGTGGCTGTCATCCTGTCCAGCGAGCAGGGCGACCAGCTCAGAGCACAATACAGCCTGGACCCGCTGTGCCCACCCACTCCACACAAGCGCATGGCAGATGTCAGCCTCGGTACACTGGCCTAATGCGTCATTTGTAACTAATGATAAAAAGAGCTGCCAAATAACAGGCGAGTCCGGAAGGGATCATTCCAAGACTTCCAAGGTTTAGCAATACACATTGAGATATTTTAGTTATTATACTGAACAAACATTGCAATAGTGGTGTGTGTAGTGTATAGTAGGGTACCTGAGGATATCCAGCAAGGGAGAAGGTCATAAGACGTTATGGTAGATGGAACTAAATTTGTTGAAAGTTAAAAGGTACCAATATATCCTGAGCGATAACATATCCACATGTTTAGTTGAGGTCAGAGCTTCTTAGATTAGTCAAGATCACCAAACAGCACTGATCAGTGGGGTGAAAATATGGGGAAGTCTTCCTCCAGCAGTGGATTATAGCAATGCTGTGAATTCCTTTGGTTATTATTGCACATGGGTTAGGATATGTAATGCAATTAAGTTCATGGCAAAAAAAGCGCTTAGCAATGTGCTAATAGAGATGGAAGTGATTGGAGTGGGGTGTCATTTGAAAATGTAAGGGGATACGGATTATAGAGGTGGAATACATGTGGCATGAAATATCCTGCGACAGTGGATGTTCTCAAAATAGTAATACAATTGATAATAATCGTCGATTCATAGATTAATATTAAGTTGTATGCTAATGATGCATGCATTGTTTGTGTAAACATCTATAACATGTAAAATTAATTTGTATTTGATAAGTAATCAATATTTTTTGGTATTTTATAGTTTCACAACCAGTAATGCCAGCTATATTTACCACATTGTAAGAGAAAGTTAATTGTTAAAGAAAGTTTATTATTTAATGAAATTGTGTCCCTGAATATTGACAATACATCAAATCAGCAGGGAAATAGATTTCTATTCTTCTAGAATGTTTGTTGAGGTGTGTGTTTTTGGTTGAGCATAGTTTTTGTGATTTGGAAAAGGAACTTGGAGATTATTTTTCCAGTGGAAGGTAAGGAGATCAAGCAGTTTTTCAAAAATGGTGATTTATTTAGAAATTTCACTTTAAGATGTGAAAGGAAAGATTCATAGTGATGTTCTCCAGTATTGCTGTTAACCTGTAGAATATTTTCCTCGTCTGAACAGATTGTGATAAACCTATGCAAGAACCAGACATGGCATATCTTCAATATTATAAAAGCATGCTCATTTGAGGCAATTAAATTAACCAATGTAAATTTTCCAGGCTTAAATAATACAAATATTTATTAATTAAGGGTTGCCAATATTTGTCCTCATGTACATAAGTGAATCTGGGAAATAGGGTTATCAGGCACAAATATGGCATTTTACTAATTGCAACCACTGGGAATATGCATATACTGTTGCATAGCAATGTTAGTGCTCAAAGGTTGACATACTGTAAAATTTATGCTGGAATGCTTATGTTCAGATAACCTTGTGGAGGGCAAGAGGCAACGACGGCTTGGAACAGCAGCAGAAGGTCGGTCTCCGACCACACAAGCTGCACGGCAACCCCAAAGTCCCCGGGTCGTGCCCTCCACTGGCAAGCGAAGGCTGCAGCTCACCGACCAGGGATCATCTGATGTCGGGTCGCCAGCTAAGCGAGGCCGCAAATCCACCAGTGCCAAGCGTAAGTCGAGCAACAATGATAAGGTTGATTTATTTTATGTATGTTGAACTTCTTTCACACCGTACGTAGCCAACCGTGTTAATCGGAGGTGCGGGGAAAGGACGACAATTTTAACACATAAAGCAGTTCTAAAGAAATGAATTTTCAATCTAGATTTAAAAGTGCAAAGCTTAAGTAGCTTCCGAATATCGGAAGGAAGAGCTCTTCAGATAGCCACAGAAACACATTTGAAAGCGCGCGATGCAGTGACTGTCTTTGTTTGATGGCCAGTCGAAAGCCGCTACGAGGATGACCGGAGTTCACGTGATGGTTTCTGCTCCTTGATGTGATTAGCAAGGTATTGTGGTTAATTTGTGGCATACACTTTATATGTAATCAGTGCAGCCTTATAACATTCATTCAGTCACCGGAAGCCAATGCAGCTCAGCTAGGACTGGACGGACATGGTCTAATCTTGCAGTAACTGTCACGACACATGCCAGATAATTTTGTACACGCTGCAGCTTGGTAATGCTTTTTCTAGATGTCCCGTAGAGTAGTGAGTTGCAATAATCGAGCCTTGTCAATACTATCCTACACGCCTCCATGTTCGCTGTCACTACTCAATAGTGGCCGAATTTGTCGAAGAGCCCTGATATGAAAATTCCAGGACCTGACTATTTTTTTCAGGTGATGATCAAACTACGTATTCTGGTCGAGTCGATGCCGAGGCTCTTCAGATGAATAGAAAACTGAATGTTGGAGTCTGCAGCTCGCAACACCTGATTCTCCCACATTTTTTTTCGACTGACCCTGAGTGCCAACCAGCAGAACCTCCGGTTTTCCTGGATTAAGCAGCATTTAGTTTCATGCAAACCACACGTGCACCCCTCGCGTACACCGCTGGGGTGCAATCTTCTAGGTTACTGAGGCTCTCCATATCTTACTTTAGCAAGGTAAAAAAACCACAGACTATATCATTGTGAACAACTTTAGCAGAAATGTGATTGTGGACATATATAAGCATGATCAGTTTATGCATTGCAGAAATGTAAGAGATGCGTCCCTGGGATATGCTACTCAACTCGAAATGACTTCAAGCAAACTCTAATTTCCCATAAACATGATTCAAATCAGTGGTTGAGTTTGTAGCAGACATTACTAAAAGAAAATGCGTGACTAAATGTCATGAAATGTAAAAAAAGATTATAATTTGACGTACATTTTCACTCATAAATTCAAATGATTAGATAATGCTTAGCAGAGATGGTTTAAGAACTTGCTGATCGAGGCCTCTTTGGGTGAGCAATGGTGGAATTATGCAAAGGAGTAGGATAAACTGCCTCTTCATCTGACGAGGAAGCTGGAGGCACAGGAATATTCACCAGAGGAAGCTGGCTCTATCCTGGGCTTTTCTCCAGACCTGGCTTGATTGTAGAGCTTTTATAAAATCTGTCCAAAAACAGCTGGACAGCATTTTTCTTATACTGGTACAGCTTTTTATAGCAGTGAATGCCAGTTAATATTCGTGGTGGTGGTGGTATCATTACATCGGTCTCTTCCTAAGCTCGTTGTTCCAGCTCCATTACATCCTCATTTGACAGGTCCTCACCATGGGACTAAAGCAATTCCACCACGTCCAACTCCTCCACATTGTCGAGTCCAGCTATTTTGCAATGTAATACATTCCTGGAACGTATATGTGAAACAACGCATATTGTGGAGAGATCTAGAAGGTGGGCGGGGCGAGGGGCGGAGCCAGCCCCAGCCCACGCCGATATGACGGGGCCCTGTGAGGGGTTCGAGGTTCTTCGGGTTGTTGGTGAAGAAGATCCACGTCGGGTTGAAGAAGCCTCTAGCCACGTGGTCTGGGACCCAGCTCGTGGTCCGGACCGGGATAGCGAGACCGTGTTTAGTTTTGACGTAGCGTGGTTACATGGCCGCTCAACACCGAAGTGTAGGTTACGTTATGTTGTGTTGAGTTGATGTAATAAATAGTGTTGCTCCCAAGACAACGTCTGCGACTCAGTTGGACTCACTACACACATTCTGAATTGTGGAGATTGTAACTTTTCTTTTAATTAAAATGCCATTTCAGACTCATCATCAGGAGGCTCCAGCCCATGTAAGAGCATTGGCGGGCGCTCGCCCACGCACAGCCTCACGGAGGAACGGCCAGGGCCACAGGCGTGCCTCAGCTCTGAGCTCTTTTGCGGCTACAGCTTCGTGTTGACAGTGTCCACCCCTGCAGATCGGGTGTACTGCCGACCACCCCGCTTCTCCACTGATGAGAGCTCGGGCACGGAGGAAGGTAAGCTGGACAGCTTTGCACAAGCTGGTTACCGCTGTGGTGATATGGCTTCGCGTTCGCAGCTTGTTGCAGAGTTTCACTGCCCGAATCCAGTAACCTCCCTGATTAATACTGTGAGTTTATTAATCATAATACGATTAAAAGTAACCTATTCCTCAACTTTCCTGGCTGACTGCTGGCTGTGCTCCTCTCCACCCCGACAATAACTCTGTTGTTGCCACCGAAAATAGCTGGGTATCTGGCTAAACAGGAATTTCCTTGTAACAAATAAAGATTGGATTGAATTGAAATAGCAGACGAAATTCAGCAGACATGATAGATAGTGACACCAAAAATTAATGCGAAAGACTGATGAGGTTAACTTTCAATTTCTCCAACTTTGAAATTAGTGCCATAACCATCCTGTTAATGTGATTCTTTTGCGAGAATTCTCTTTAAATCCTAGAAAATAAAATAAAAACTTGACATTATATATTATCTTGGCATTTTATTACATAAAAAAGCAGTTTTAACACAGGCTTTTGCAGCCAATATCCATAATGAAGATTTTTTTGGGTTAGATCGCATACATATGAATGTGTTGTTAAACCCACCACTACCCGATACAGCCAATTTAGTAAGGTTTGTCACGTGAACAAAACGTGCCAATTAGTTACTACTTAACCACACCGGTGTGTCGTAGAGTAAACCCATAACATTGAAAACTCGAGTACGACGTTTCACTGGTAATTACAACCAGCTTCATCAAGTGGTTAACCAGAATTGTGAAGAAGTCTGAAAAAGCAAATTACGTTTAGTGCTTTGAGTACAGGATTATGACAATCACGGCTGTCTCTTATTTTCAATTGGAGAGCGACGAGTTCTCTGTTAGTTAAATTTAAAAATACACACCGTCTTCACAGTGAAAGTTAAAGATGCCGTCACCGCATTCAGAAGGACAGGCCTTTGTGTGCTGCTGTCATGGTCCAAATTTGGCAAATTTGAAATATCGCCTGAAGATTACTCAATTGGAATTATATATAACAACCATTGCCCCTATGACTCATGAAAAAGAGTCACAAGACTGATAATATATTGGGCAAACAAGTGTAATAAATTGTTTTAAAAAAATGTAACCCTCATTACTATTCCTGTAATCAGAAGCATGCTAAAATATCTAGCAAAATAACTGCACTTGTGGTTGAAAAGGAGTACTTTGAATCACACATTTGACCGTAAATGATACCCAGTGTCCCTGAGTGACACACATTGCTGTATCAGTCGCTATTTGGCATTTGTGTTATTAGAAGTTGCTACAAGTGTAATGACAGGGTTCCACCTGTCGGCCTGGAGGGGTAATCGGGGGTATGGGCAAGTTATATAATAACTAACTAGAAGGGGTGCGTATCTGGGCTAAAGGTGAAAGGCGGAGTCAGTTGGAAAGCTCCAGGAACCTGCTCGAAGGTTCTGGAAGGGAGCGTGGCCGGAGGTGTGGCTTGGCCTTGCCGGCAGGTATATAAGGCGGACGGAACCAGAGGTTCGGGGCCGTTGCGGGTCCTGGGTCCTGACTTGCGTCGCTGCTTGCCGCCATCTCTCTTCGTCGTCTGGCCACGTGGCCGATCCTCTGCACGGCTCTCATCGTCGTCGTCGCTGTGCTAGTCAGACAGTTATGTAGTTAGACGCCGACGATGGGGTTGTGTAGAAGGGTCGGCTATGTGTAGCCATGTAGATACGTTCTGTATAACGGCCAGTGTTGTGCCCAGTGTGAGAATAAATAAGAAGCGCTCTACACGACATGTCTCGAAAGTCGCTCACTACACAAGGGTAGTGGCTTCATCTCATAGGCCATTTTTAGATTTAGGCACTCTTATACATTAATTTAGTTCATTGAGAATTATTATGGGAATAAACCAGTTTCAATACTTTGATCCATGTGCTTAAGTGGGATATTGTCCAGCTTACTAAATCCTTTTGTGTCCTCTTGGTTTCCAGAGCAAGCAGCAGTGCCGTATGACTACGCAGCAATTGAGGCTCAGATTCGGGCAGCAGGAGGCACCGTCCTGCAAAACCTTAACCCGACCCTGGTGAGCATGCTGTGTGCGCACTTTCTCCCTGGTCAGGTTGTAAGGTGTGGACCACATTGTAGATGTGGGTACCCACTATTAAAGAGCATATAAAATAGTAACATTCAGTAAGCATGTGCTTTTCAGTTGCAATGTTGCCTTGAAGTAATTTTTAATATGTAAAACTTGCAATACTTCACACTGGAGCTACTCATGCCAAAAAGTCATTGTATAAATATTTGTTTTCAAATCTTTATTATTTTTATTAATTCAGTGGCCACTGCCAGAGGCTTCTTCAACCCCTCTTGGGGTAGGAGGGGCAGGGAGAGGATGCCTTATCGTGTGTCCCCCGGCCACCCAGCAACTACTTTCTTTAGATTTCTGGGCTAGCGCCCAGAACTCCAGCATATCTGCCACACCGGGAGAGTTAATACAATGTTGCACGGTGCCGGCAGAATAATTTTAGCATGCATCGGCTCATGGCTTACTCTCTTATACGGAAAAACCCATTTAGCCAGTTACCCAGATAGTTTGCAAGGGAAATCTGTGGCTATTAGCATAGAACAAGAATAACAACATCAACGTCATACGTACAGAGCAACATGCAACAACAGAACAAAACCCATCAGGGGAACACCTCACTTCATGTCACGTAGCACTGCATTTAACTTACCTTCAATTAGTTCAAAATCACTGCTCTGATACTTGATTTTCTTCTGCTTTCGCTCGCTGGGGTTGTAATCAATTTTAATTCGATACAATGTCTGGAAAATCACGGAGAAATTGATATATTTTATCAAAAATTTGACTTACCTTTTGTTTCAAGTGCTAAAGAAATAAATAAAGACACCAAATACACTTTGTTGCTGTGTAGAATAATTTATTTGATGAACTTTCAATAAAGAAACGTCAAATTTAAAGCGAATTTGCGTTAAAAAAAATTATTGCTTATGATCGTAATGACGGGGGGGGGGGGTGCGGCATGTGGAGTGGCATCAAGGTACAAGTACTGCACTCAATGAAGTGTCAGTGGGGTGGTAATTGATGATGTACAAATATAGTATGTTTGCAGTGTGAAAAGACAATACTGTTCTCAAAAAACCATTGGAGTAAACATCCAGATATAGTTTAATGGTTAAAAACAAAGAACAAAAAAAATCTACGACATAAAAGATATGGAAATGCTTGTGTATGACTCATCTAATTATTAGATGGTTAATACAAAACCAAAATTCAGAGCATAATTTGGATAACTTGCAGGTATATGACTCATTTCTGGCAAGATCTGGTAAAAGTGTGGATGAATAGAACCCTTGTAGTATAGGTGTTATTATGTAACATGACTCATATGCCTGTATTTATAATTAACTATTAGGATGTTATATTTGATAGAAGTGAAAAACTGAAAATATTAAGTGAAAAGGGTAAAAAAATGCAGTGAGAAAATAAATGTGCAAATTAAAACTTCAGCAATGTCACATTTTAATCCATTTGTAAATGAAAGCATAGACTAATTGTTGAAAAATCCTCACACCACAGTGTTTTTTAAATTAATATACTGTGGTGTAAGAGGATGCCTTGGTCATGTTTGTGTCATCTTGTAAAGAACAATTGTATTTGTTTTTGACGATTGCTGGTGCATTGTTCTTGTCGTATTAGAGGTGGTGCCAATTCAATTTTTTTTTACATTCACACTAGAGATTACAAGCAAAATTGTTATTACCCATTGAGATGACATAAAAATTGAGTCATATCGCAGATTTCATAGTTTTCATATTGGCTGAGCAACCCTTCCAGTTGTAACAAATATATAAGTCCTAATAACAAGCAAATTCATGCTCTACCTCAGTATTGAACTGTGAATACCTTTGGGTACATTGTCAATTACCACTATGATGCTGAAATGAGAAACTTTTGTGTTGTGTGTGCGCGCGCGTGTGTCCAGTGCACGGAGCTTTCACTCTGTTTCTTGGTGTGCGACTTCCCGTGTCGCTCACGCGAGTACTTGCTGGCGCTAGCGGCTGGCATACCCTGTGTGTCGCACATGTGGGTGCGGGACACTTGCCTGCTGAACACCCAGCATGACTACCGTAAATACATGCTTCCCTCTGGCTACAACCTCACTGCTGGCTCCATCAATGAGTGGTGAGCTCATGAGCCCAAAGTCTGCTCTTTTTACAGTTTTGCTTATGAATTATTGGGGTTTCTAGCCATGGTTAAATGTTTAGTATATACCCATCAATATTTGTTTTGCAAATCTAACTGCTAATGAGACTCAAAAGGTTGAACGAATCCAGAGTTTTGTTGTTAAAAAAATTATACCGATAATATTCATCGCGAAAGCACAATAAAGACTGATAGACAAGAAATATGTTTTTACTTGGAGAGATGGAGGTCTTGTTGTTATTTGATGTTGCATGATGCTCTGCAAAATTGCATGATTTTGTGTATACTGTAATACCCCGATTTACGCCCTCCCATTTTATGTACTTTCACTATAACGTGCTCAACTTATTGATACCCAATCTCTTTTTACTTTGTGGTACATAGCTTTAACATACTCGAGATTTACGAACTTTACTATTCATACCCACATTTTTTACGTTCCACGGCAAACATTCAGGTGCAAGATGTCCTGAGGAGCCCCCAAGCATATGCGTCCCTGACTACAATAGTCTCTTTCGTGTGTACACGTGTAGTGAGTCCAACTGAGTCGCAGACGTTTTCTTGGGAGCAACACGTTTTATTAAATTCTTAGCACGACATACTCCAAGATATTAACACAACATACTCTCGGGCGGTGACCACCCAACTAACCACGCTACGGCGGAACTAGACACGGTTCCGCTATCCCGGCCCGGACCACAAGCTGGGTCCCGGAGCGCGTGGCTGGAGGCTTCTTCAAGCTTGACGTGGATCTCCTGCCTCTCCAACAGAAAGAACCCCGAGCCCCTCTCAGGGCATCCCTTATATCGGGCCGGGCTGGGGCTGGCTCCGCCTCACCCCCCGCCCACCTTCTCGATCTCTCTCGCCCTTGCCCCGAAGGCTCTCGAGAGTTCTTCTCAGACCATGTGACCACCCATTGGCCCCCTCCACCGGTGGCCCCCCTCCAGTATCATCCGGTCACATGTCCTCAGGTCAGCCAGAGTATCATGCTTCCCAACGTAACCCTAGCTGGCTGACACTCCCTCGCTCTCTCAACGGGAGCCCGCACTGCACGCTGTGCGTGGTGCCACCGCGCTTAACCAGCGCTCACCCAAGCCCCCACTAGGGCTGGTACTACACCCCGTGTCCGGGGTGTACACACAACAGTATGCATCCCGCCGTGGCCTCGCAGGCCCGGCACCACACAGTGACGTTCCCAGTCACTACACACGTACTCTATTAATGTTTTCCCCCACATACCATCTTTATTGTGACTATTTTTATAGAAGTGTAAAAATGTTTTATATCATGAACAACTAGTAATAAAACAGTAGATTAGACAAGGTAAAATATCTTAATGTATAAATAATATACATGCACTGTTCACACTGATGGTTGTACAGTATAGATTAAATACGCAATGGGTTACTGAGCATCCTCTCTTTATCCACTATATCACGTTACGATCCACCATCCCATTTCTTTTTGCTTCGATTTAAGTACTATGGATTCCCGTTCTGGTTTTCAGGAACTCATCCTGGGTGTAAACCGGGGTATGCCTGTATCTTGTTTTTGTATAAGATTTTATTTAAAGTGTTTGAGTTTCCAAACTTTTAACTTATTAAGTTAGTCGTAGTGTAGGGGAAGGTCAGGTGGAGCCCCAGCTTGCATGGATTATATGATACTTGTCCATCTGTGAGCATGTGCGTGTGTGTGTGAGATGTATAGTACGCCCAGCTAAGCTCTCTCAACACCCATTGTTAATAATGCCACATGAACTAAATAATTACCACTTATCTGTGATATATGTCCCTCACTTTCTGACTAGGCACGGACAGAAAAATCTCTTTGAAGACACAAGGGTACTACTGGTGTCCGAGGATCACGAGAGCTTCCTGGGCCTGTGGTCGGAGATTCTTATGGCGGCGAAGGCTGCTACAGTCACCTGCCACAAGCCCACCCCGAACAATGGTAAGCCTCAATGTTACTTATAAGGGTGATTTATAGATTTTAGCCTTAACGTTTAAAGTGCATTCAGGCCCTGTAGTTCAATCACAGAGTATGATTGCCCCATTTTAATATTGCTTATTTTCACATTAGCTGAATTTTTACTTGGAAGGGAATATTTGCAGACAATACAGCCACAAATAATAACTTGCATACATGAGGATTCAAATGTTAAACTTCTATTTTGAAATGTATTGTTTTTAATTCTAAAAATCCCACAGCCATTTTGCATGTTTTTTGGTTTTGTGTTTCTGAAAATGTGCCACTTTATTGTGTCTTATGTCACCTGAAGGTTATAAGGCACCAGAACATTTAGAAATAAAAGCAATTTTGCGTGTCATGACCAAAACTTTTAGTGTTTATTACACAATCTGCACTTGCAGCAATCGTTCAATCCTGAAAATGCGACTGAATGCCAGTGATAGCATACTCCCATTTCAATCCAGATAATATTATATTGTGCGGCATATATTGTCCATGTATATAGCATATACAAATAACTGCATTGTTGCACTTGAACATATGTGTGCGTGGTGTTCCAATAATAAAAAGGTCATGTATAATATTACATGATGTGTGCCGTCTTCAGATGTCGCAGTGGCCAAGTACGACTTGCTGGTATCGGACGCATCATGCCCTCCCGGCATGCTGCATTGTGCTGCTGCTCTAGAAATGCCCGTGGTGTCCTCTGAGTGGCTGGTGCAGTGCCTGGTAACAGGACACCGTGTCCCCTTCACCTCCCACCCTGCCTTCCGGCATGACCACCGCCCAGTTTAAGCCCCCCATCACTACTTGTAGAGCCATGCGCAAGTTCTCACAATGCATGCCGAAGAAGACAGATTGATAGGTTAGTCACATATCTAAATCTGCAAATGATTTTTATGTAATATTTTATTTTAACTCCATCTCCCCATTTACACACACACACACATCGCACAACAATGAAATTATTTTAACTGTTTGAGTTTTATGTAAGAAATAAGCTAATTCCGGCAACACTTTTGCATAACCTTTTGCCACAACAAGTAAACAAAGTTAATCTAAGCTGTAGGGTCGACATTTGCACTGTTTAAGAAACTTGCCCAACTCCAAGATATCTTTTTACACTCATTGATTAAAACATTCCACCACAAGTTTTATCACTCGTTGCATTCACCCTATTTTAGCCTGTAATGTCAATGTGAAAACATACCTAACAATTGATATGAAAATTGCGGTCTGTTTAAAACAAGCGTTTTAAGTAACTACTGTACTTGAAATATTATGTGCATTGCTGTGGGGTATTCGCATAAAAAATTACGCATTTGGAGTGCATTTACACAATCCAGTTCTATTTGGGCATTTGCTGCCTTTAAGATATAGAATGCAATGCTATGCACACTCGCTAGTCATGCAGTCGCCTAAAATAATTGTCGTAGTGGCCCTTGACTTTATTTCACGTATCAACAAAATTGACTTACCATTTTGAGCCTTTTAACTATTTTTAACCGTGCACTTTAAACAGTTGAGGTGTATTAAAAACACACAATGTGAAAGTTTAAATAGGTTTCATTTCCTGGTGGATGTTTTTCCAACCACAGGGGCAATTAGAACAAGATAAACAAAATGCGTCACTGTAGGAAGATGACATTATAAAAGACAGTGATTGATATTTTGCATTTTGGCTATAAAACTTAACAGGTGTTTGAAATGTGTTTGGGTCTTTGTTATTTTGCAAAAGACTCGTTTATTAGACATATTCTGTAGGTGCTTCACTATGCCATTGTTTAAGTGACTGAAAGTAGTTCATTATATGCCTTATTGAAAAACGTGTACATTTGCATAGAGGGACCAAGTTGTGGGTGAATAATGGTTAAGACTTGATATGTTGCATAATGGTTCTCTGCAAAAATGGAATCATTGTGTTGATAAATCAAGGTCGCCCAGGTTTAGCTGGGTGACTTATTGAGGTGTTGATTATTGCGCCACCACGCTAATCATGCACATAAAACTCATCTTTATCTAACATTCATTGTGTACGAATTGCTTTTTAGATTGCTACATACTGTGTTTATGAATTTTTTATTACCAGGTTTATTTGTAACCGTATTAGTTTACGTCTGAAAACTGCTAGTGATATTATTGGTGAAACTATTCATATCTTGACTTAAAGCTTTCGTGACTGCAGGAATTTATATTCTTTGGGTCTTTCGGTAAAGTCACGTAGATAGGTTAAAACAAAACAAAAAACTACGACGATTCGATCGCAACACAAGCGACCGTCATCTTCATAGTTTTTTGTTTCTTTTATTATTTTTTTAACCTATCTACGTTACTTTACCGAAAGACCCAAAGAATATAAGCTATTAATATGTTTGTGTGTATTCGTTTTTTGCATGGTATTCCTAGGTAAGATGTGCGTAATATTGTCAAAGTCTATAAATCAGCTGTGTAACAATATCGGGTAGTTGTTTTAGATGCTCCGGATGTTATTTTAGTTATACGTTCATGTAATAATTATAGGTTTACTGTGAGGAATTACACTTTTGCTTTGTAGCTGTCTATACTGTGAAGCATTTTTGTGATGATGTGCTGCTGTTGCTTGCTCAATAGCTAAATCTTAGGACCATCTGTGCATACATGGCACAGAGAATCTACTTTCACCAAAATTATTTCCTTTTAAAGCTGAACCAAAAGTTTTAAAAAATTAGCAACACTTTTTTAATGTTCTTTTTTTTATAAATGGTTTCAATCACAATGCTATCTGATACATAATCCATAGCTTTACATACTTCTGTATGAAATCCAGCCCATCACTTTGTTATGCCTACTCCACGATTTTTTTCCCAATGTTGAGCCTTTTATCCCACATGGAGACACCTTAACTTTATAGTTTGGATGTAAATTATGCTGAAACAATAACCCAAGAGTTTAGAAAAAGACTGACCTGTGTTGTCAGAGTAGCCATTACAATTGTCTGTAGTGTAAACTTTAGATAACTAAGCAGTTTAAGTGTGAGGCATTTAAGATTGCAGTTAAAAGTTCGAAATGTAAACGTCTAATTATAATTTGTTATTGCCCCATTTTTGCCCGTCGCTGCCAGCGTCGCCAGCTTGGTCCTCATTTAATACGTTCCCGTTATCCCACAGGGACACAAACGTGATGCAGAGAAGGCTCTTTTATTTTAATTGTCTGCGAGTCACCAAAGAGACGGAAGTTTGCCCACACTCCCCGAGTCCCTCTTGTACTGCACGGAAGGAGGGAGAGAGGCTCGTCTAATTTTCCCCAGTGTTTGCGGTGCAGATTCTGCCAAAATCTGGAGCCACTGGAAGCCTCAAAAAGCCTCCTCTGAATCACAATCGTGACCCTTGTTAGATAATGCTAACATATGGAAGGACCATGCTGTGGATGCTGGAAACGTCTCCTAATAAACAGTTTTGCCAAATGTTCAGAATTAGGCAGAAGGCCGATTATAGCTGCTTTCTTTAAAAAAAAAATTTCAACGAAATTGTGGACAATTAATGTTCGTTTTTAAGTGCAACCCCTATGTGGATCCCTTGGCAAAAATAGGACATTGTGACATTAAAATTACCTGCATGGAACATGTCTTTGCATCTCAACCAACCATTATTAAACTGGTTTGGAGGATTGTAAAAAAAAATACTTGAATTATGTATTGTTGTTAATCCATGTTGCATTTTTAAAATAAATAGAACTGCTTTTAGAGACAACAATATTGCAATTTTAATGTGCCAGGGTTACTAAAGGTAATTTGTCCAGCAGTAATGTAAAATGTTGTACTTTTTAAGTTCAGTGTTTATTATATTCATCAGTCATTTAAAACTATTTTAAGTCCTTATTCCCCCACAATGTAATGTTGAAGTTAAAATTAGTATATACTTGTAATGTATGCCTTGTTAATGCAACAGGATTCTTAAAATATGTTGTATAACCCTTAAAGTTGGTTAAATGTGGCCTTGTACGAGATTAATGATTACAGTTTAAGGTTAGGGTCGACAATTTGGACAAGTACTTCATATACTTGATTTGATATGGAAGGTTTCATCAATTTGAATGCACCTAAATACCCAAGTATTATGTTTCGTACGGATTATCAATCATACAAGCCGTCCATTAAATTGGTGGAAGGCTAGTTTGTGTCTGTCAATTGTCTCTTCAACAGAAATGTGATCCTATTCTTACTCTGGTTCTTTCGGTAAAGTCACGTAGGTATAAAATACAATAAAATCCTATTGCTTGTTAAAGGATATATTAGGCCTGCATGTGTGCAAGCAACGTCAATCAATTAATGTTTGGCAAACAGGCATTGGTGCCTTTGAGCATCGTACATGAAACAATCGTCACCCCAACAAATGCTTGGCGGGTGGAGGCAACAATTGATGTTGTGACCGACAAGCTAGAAAAATATTGTGTATGCATTGCAGATTGGCCACTATTCAAATGTATCATTAGGCAGGTATCCATACAGCAAACAGTTCTATTTCATTTTCTTTTATCTTTGACTCAACATTTGATCACCGTTTTCTGCTTGAAATACATGTCAATTCCAGCCCTCTTATTTATCGTACGACCTTTATTGGAATACCGAGGAATTGAAAATATGTTGCACAAAGCCAGTTGATTGCTCTCTACATATGTTTGGTAAAGACTTTTGGTACATATGTAATTTAAAGCTGTTTACACGTGGTTTACTTAACAGGTATAAATGCCCTCGTGCTAAAAGCTGAGAAGATTATTGTGGCCGAGCAGCTACATGGCAGCACTTAGCTCGTGTTCATTGATCATGATTTAAAAATAGTTTTAGCAAACAGCTTAATATGAATTAAACTTGGCTTTTCTTGTCCCACCTGTTGCAACAAACAAATTTTCTGCATTGTCCAATTTGCAACCAATGTGCATTTTTATGGCAATCAGTTAATTGCTGAGTACATTGCATGCATTTTTTGCATCCTATCATATTTAACCAGTGCACAATCAACAAAAGACAAGTGAAATATTTCTACAAATTATAACGTTTTTTTCACTTCCTTATTTACCAAAAAATATAATTTCGTAATTGAAAATCCCTAACAACTTCATTTCCCCCTTGCCTGGTTACCACAAAGCAAAACAACTGTAAATACGCAATTGAAATGCCTTATGTTAATTTGTTTATATAAATTACACATTACAAGGTTATCCTGATGTATCTCTTAATGATTGCATTGATTTATGGTTGCCATAATTGTGGATCCATTCATACTTATTTGCCTAAGCCAATTTGTGTATCTCATACACAATGTTCTTTTATAACATCCTCAATATTGTGTGCAAACATGAACATTTTTTGTCGTATGCTGAGTAAAAATCGACGTGCAAAATTATATCTACCAATTATAATTCACACCTTTAGCTACAAATATATGAAAAACCCCTGTTACAACTGGAAACACTGCAAGTTCGTTTGCCATTATGAAGAGCACATCATTATTTTCTCCATAGAGTGCTTTTTGTGTATGCTAAAGAGATATACTTAACGGTTTGCCATACCAGACGGGGATTATCATAACCTCCGCACAGTTGGCTAACTACGATGCGAAAGAAGTTATACATACATACCTCAAGCCTTCCACCAATAGAAACCACTGACATCCACAAGAATCTCTGCTTCAACTCTTGGATGCTCCTGTTTGTACAATTACTTAGTACAATGGAGGATTACCCGAGTTTTCTCCAGTGCCATGTGAACACAGCCAATTTAAATAGTGGCATCGTATGCATCTGCTGAAATTGTTTAATCTGTGCGCCGTTTTATAAGTAACTTGCAATCGTGGTAATTGCTTATGTCGGTGTAAAGCTTGCATCGCAGTACATGTTTTGGAGCCATTAAATTGTTACAACTCATTTGTTTGTCGGTTTTGATGAGCGGCAAAATAAATACATTTAGGAGCCATCCATTTAGTACTTACGCAAAAATCTGTCAACTTGACCGCCCCCCCTCCCTATACTCCCACCTGCGTACGTACGCTTGACGCACCCCCCCCCCGAATCCTATAGAACGGTCGATATTTAATCCACGCAGAAACGATCAAGGATTATTAATAATATTAACGTGTTTAAGGAAACAGAGTCCACCGCCGGCTGCATTAAATAATTACGTTGCGTACATCGTCTTGGTTCTTTCGGTAAAGTCACGTAGAAGGAAAAAAATAAAATAATAAAAATAAAACATTAAATAATTCTCACAACGTTTCGGCCACAACGCAAGCAGCCGTCTTCAGGTGGAGAACAGGTCTGTCAAGTAGACAGTCGGCTGCTTGCGTTGTGGCCGAAACGTGATAATTATTTTATTATGTTTTATTTTATTATTTTCCTTCTACGTGACTTTACCGAAAGAACCAAGGCGATGAATCCCTGCAGTCACGAAAGCTTTAAATACGTTGCGTACCTTGGCCACTTATTTTGCTGAGCTGCAGTCAGGGGCACGGTGGCATGCAAGTGACACCTCTCCCACAGTCCCACTTCTCCCGGCAGTGCTTGTTGTCTGACAGCTGAAGAAACTGAACTGTGGCTCATTTGAAGGCCAATGCAGACAAATTATCGATGCTTCAACCCCCCCTCCCCCCGTTTCCTATACGTACGTACATTGTCAGTAGACCCCCAATATGCAAGCGTACGCATTTAGGTTACCCCCCCCCCCTCCATGCGTACGTACTAAATGGATGGCCCCTTAAGGAAAGTCATTAATACATTTCTGAAGATAAAACTCCCATTTTCTACATAAAAGGGGATGTGATGTGTAATTTTAGCTGTGACGGTCCCACCTGATGACGGAGACTTGTGTTGCCTCCGAAACGTCGTGATTTATTATTTTATTTCCATTATTACTTTTATTAACTTTTAATTTTATTTTTTACCTACGTGACTTTACCGAAAAAAACTGAGAGTAACATATATTAATGTTATATTTATTGTAGTCATTGTAATTAAACATTTGACATCCCCCCCCCCCATGTTCACTCGTACCAGGAACGTAACCTCATTTTTTCCCCAGTGGGACAAGGGTTTCTGCATTCGCGAAGTCGGCATCTCGCGTGAAGTGTTTTCAAGAAGTTTTCGATTTAAAGCTTTCGTGACTGCAGGGATTCATCTTCTTGGTTCTTTCGGTAAAGTCACGTAGAAGGGAAATAATAAAAATAAAACATAATAAATAAAATAATGTTTTATTTTTATTATTTTATTACTTCCCTACTACGTGACTTTACCGAAAGAACCAAGAACATGTTTTCAAGAAGTTAACCCGCGCGGATCGAGGGTTGACACACAATCACCGTCGGCTCGTGAGGGCCCCACGGCGGACGGTCTTGGGTACTGCAGGAGAGAACAACGCGACCCGCTGCCGTTGAGCGGTTATACTCTGAGTTTTTCGGTAAAGTCACGTAGGTAAAAAAATGAAATTACAATTAATAAGAATAAAATAATAATAAATCACGACGTTTCGGAAGCAACACAAGTCTCACTTGATACAGCAAATATGGCTGTGACGGTCCCACCTGATGACGGAGACTTGTGTTGCCTCCGAAACGTCGTGATTTTTTATCATTTTATTTTTATTATTTTTAATTTCATTTTTTTTACCTACGTGACTTTACCGAAAAAAGCTAAGAGTATGAATCCTTGCAGTCACGAAAGCTTCAAATCTAGAATTAAGTTGTGTGGTTAACCAGTTCCTGCGGAAGATGGCATCCACAAATCCCACTTGCAGCAGTAACTGAATCTCACAGCACTTTGGCCAGCACCATATGCCACGGAAAGGGCCCTCCACACTCTCGATGTGACGAGAGCCCCTCACGTTTTACCTACAACGGACCATTAGACCATTGACAACTTGCAAGCTCAGCACACGGCAGATGCCTGTGCAGCTCGACTCACGACCGCCTCTTGATACCAAGATCCAGGATGGTCACGTCTATGCGCCGCTTCTCGGTGGCAGCCCCAACAGTCTGGAACGATATCCCTCTGCACATTCGCAGCATTATCTCAATCGCCTCCTTCAAGAGAGGCTTAAAAACTCACCTCTACAATCATGCTTTTGAGCGACTCTGAGATTGGCTCCGCGCCTCTGAGTTGCAGCCACTACGTCTGCAAATTTGCGCGCGTTACAAATTGAACTATTATTATTGTTAATGCAGCCTCCAAGGCACGAATCTCAGTCTGGATCCGCGACTACATCACCCAGTGTTACAGGGTCGAAGGAAAGACGCCCTCACATTCCACCAGAGCAGTCACGACATCTTGGGCAAGGGCTTCCAGTGTTCAATTGGAAGCCATGCAAGGCAGCATACACATTTGTCCGTCACTTTCGCCTTTACACGTGGGTGTCACAAGACGATTCCTTTTGGAGGGCAGTCTTGTCAGCTGCCGTGTAGGAGGGGCCTGTCCCTCCTCCAGCTGTTCTTTAAGATGTGATGAAGAGTCCCGTGGATGATGGTGGCATTGACGAAGAAACATAAGGTTTTGAACCTTGGTAAAAAATTAGTTTTTAAAGTCACTGTCGCCATCCATAGGACGCCCCTTCATTTCAGAGGGGTCCTGGTGTTCTTCCATTGTTGGGCGTTAGGCACACGTTAGTTCAGTTAGTGGATCAACACAACGCTTTTATGTCCAATCTATTTTCTATTTCCACGCTTCCTCCCAGCTGCATATCTTGTGTTCTTGGAGAGCTGGGCTGCCGTTGCTGTGTTTATTCCTCTACCCAGGGATGGGGAGTGGATCCCAGAGAATCGATTCCCAATTACGTGAACTGATGTTTCGGAATTGATTATTTACGGCACGGAATGAAAAAAAAATCGTTGAATAGATAAAAAAGAGAAAATCGAACTCGGAGCGCCACTTAAATAGCCACGAGGGCATTGAATGCCCCGTCACGACACTGGGATTGAGCCGTGCGTGAGAGCGTGAGTAAAAGTGAGAGTGACAGTGTGAGAGAATGAGGGTGTGTGAGTGAGTGTGTCAGTGAGTGAAAGTGCAAGCGAATGAGAGTCCGAGTGAGTGCAAGTGAGATCGAGTGAAAGTATGAGTGAGAATGTGAATGAGAGTGTGATAATGTAAGTGAGTGTAAGTGGAAGTGTGTTTCAAAGCCACAAGAGTGTGAGTGAACGAGAGTGAGTGCGTAAGAGTAGGAGTGAATGTGTGAGTGAGATAAGAGTGAGCATGTATGTATGAGTGATAGTGTGGTAGTGGGAGTGCGTACATGTGAGTGTAAGTGAATGCGTGAGAATGAGTAAATGTGAGTGAGAATGAATGAGAGTGCGCAAGAGTGTGAGTGAAATATGTGTGTGTGTCTGACAAAAACAACCACCACGTCCTTGATGGTGCCGGTCGGAAAAACTGCAGTGAGCAAACCATTGCGGGAAGATAAATTACCACACAACCACATTTTAAATATCAAACTAAGCTTGTGCTGGAGGCCCAGGCGTCTATGACGCCCCCATGGCCAAACCCTATTTGTGGAACCCAGAGACTGAACCCGCACCCTTGGGGTTCCTCCAGAATTGGCAAAAAGCTACTGAGTGGCCACGTGGAATGTTCGTATGCTCACTGCGGAGGAGAGGCTGCCACTCCTCTGCCAGGAGCTGGATCGGTATCGCGGATATCTCTGCGGTATTCAGGAGGTCCGGTGAACTGATTCTGACTCGAGTTACTATGAGGGAAGGACAGTCCTCGACTCGGGACAGGAAACTACCAAACAACAGGGAGTGGCTCTTCTGAACAAAATAATGAAGGGGTCATGGGAGCACAGCGATGAGGTGTGGGAAGCTGTAAGTCCCAGGCTACCGTGGGCTTGCCTCTCCATACAAGGGAGGTGAGTAATGGGGGTGGCTCATGCCTCCGCACGAAGATGGAGAGATGCAGGCACGGCCGCTGAGTCAGATGACTTCTATGACCTCTTGTCACAGGTGCTAGCTAAAGTGGCCCCTAGGGATAAAGTCATCCTGGTGGGTGACTAATTCCCTGGTGGGTAATGACGCAGGCACCTCGAATGAAGTGATTGGAAGGCATAGACCAGATCAGCTCAATAACAAAGGTACAAAGATGCTAGACTTCTTTGTAATTATAAACACGCCGTTTCAGCAGGTGTATCCACACAACAGCAAAGACACACGTCATCCAAGTAAGAATATCTGCTAGACTATATAGTGACCGAATAGCGGATGGGGCCCCATGTCTTTGACACCAGGACCTACCGTGGAGATGATCTTCCCACTGACCATCGGCTTGTCATCTGTAAAATACTTATACTGCGGTAGTGGGTGTTTACCTAGGACCCCATTTGAACCCACAGTGGCCTGGTCTCAGCTATCATCGCTTGAAGTTGGGGTTGGCATCGTCCTTCTGATGCTAAGGGGAAATTGGTTAGGTTCCGAACTGTGGCTCATGCAGCTGCAATATCTGCTTTGGGTACGTTATTCAGACCTCCGCAGAGACCCTGGCTGACAGAATACGTGTTCCAGCGAGCTGAGAAAAATCGACTGACGCTGTCTGCAGCATTTTTCGTTAGAGAATGAGGAGGCTTACCGCAGCCTTCGCTCGGAGGTTCGCCGACCCGTGCAGGGCTGAAAGAGTAAGTGGTAGTGGCAGGTTGCTGAGGAGATAGCATCTGCCTAAGTAGCCCACTATCACAAATGACTCGTTAATTCCATCAAAAATGTAACTTGCAGCACTACACATATCACTATTCTTCGGGGAAAAACACGGTGATCGGATTTCCGACCCCCAGGAACATGTTTTCTGAGTATTTCTGTGAGTTCTCACGGGAGAGGAAATCACCCAGGCCAGATAGCATCATGAGGTGAGGCTTGGATGACCCTGCTGGGCTGCGGTACCTTAAATGTTGGAAGAAG